CCGCTCTTTGCCTGCGGCGAATTCGCCGGCTGTTGTCGCTCTCTCGCCCAGCCGCCTGACTGCGGCGAGGGTTGTTTTCTGGCCATTTACCCGTTTTCAGTGTTCCGCCGGCTGTCTGCCCTCCAGTTCGTATCGGTCGCGCCGTCTGCTACGCTTTTTATTTCGTTTTTTCCATAGAAATTATAACTTTACCTCTAATTTAAGTTACGCTCGTTTTGGGGGTTTCTATTATGCCATTTTTTACGTTGTGCGCCGCAAACATTATGACGCTTGGGGACAGCGCCCGAGGCTGAAGCAGCGCCGGTTGTTTGTGTAACTGCCCCCAGCTACGTTTTCGCCGTCGCCTTTGTGCCGTTGTTTGTGTCGCTTGTATACTTTACATGACACACACACACACACACGCACACACATAGATAACACACATGTGTATTTGTGCATTTACTGCTACCGGTTGCTTGCGGTTTGCCTTTTGACCGTTTGTGTTGTTGTTTTTTTACGGTTTATTGTGAGCTCCGAAAAGCAAAGAACTTTCCACAAATTACGGCAGATAAACAACAATAAGCAATTGATATATTGGCATATTGAGTCATGGTAAGATTTCCATACAAATTGTACAAGTTTTTCCTGTGTCAGCAAACCCTTTCTGCTTGCAGTGAGGACGTCTGTATTATCCTCAAGATAAACATTACTTTAAATATAAAACATTAAGCAAATATTCTTAAGATTTTGGACCCGGGTTATAAAAACAATATTTCCACAGCTTAATAGTCAAATTTATTTCATATTTGACTTGAATACCTATCTTAAATTTTTATAATGTTAAGTATTTAAGGGAGGAATACATTTTCTATATTTTTTAAGCTTTTTTGATCCCAACTTTTATCTCAAGTGCAACCCCCGTTGTATCTACATATTTACAGTTATAATCATTCCTTAAAGTTACCATTTGTATAAACTCTATTGTATTCCGTTCAAAACTTCTGGAAAACCTCTTATAAATTCATGTCTATAAGATATAATTTATAAGCTGGTTCACAATTGAATCGACAGCTGATTGCCCTGTCCAACTGTTTCGCCCTTTGTAAGCACTGAATATTTACCACCCGCTGTTGAATCTGCATGTTAATTAATAATAAGCTGGTTCTAAATTTTCTGAGCCATCCAACCAATCACACAACGCACAAATCTATCAGCGAGGAAATATTTGCCAAAACCAAAGCAGGGCACAGTCAAAAGCTGATGCCCTTCCCCTTTTAATAAACTGGGCTCCCCTTCCCTCTGTGAGTGGGGTGGCTTGTCCAGGGATTACAGCTGGCTCACGGCGGGTGCAAATGTTCCTGTGAGCCAACCCTCGGACGCATTTTTTATGTGCCCCACCCTTCCCCCAAGCTTCGGCTGTGATTGTTGTTTTGGTTTGGCATTGAGCCTGGCCACGAGTGCAACATGTTGCCGGGATTTGTTTTGTTAATTTCTGCAACCCTAAATCATCGGCGTTTTTAATGCCCTGGCTAAAGCGGGTATACAGTTTGCCTGCCATCGTATGTAACAAAAAAGGAAGAATGTACTAGTTTGTTATTTTTTTGTGGATGTCTCTTCACATTTCCATGCCAAGAATGGAACATACAATCTAATTCCACTGTCAGCATTTCTTACATTTTTTGCGAATTTGAAATATGTTGCCTTTCCATTCTTCAATAAGAAGCCACATTTCTCACATTTCAAAAAATGTTGGTATTCGCCCCGAGGTAAATCAAATCAAACCGACGAGCTGTTTATTTAAAGAGGCGATACTTTTGCCATTCACATGTTACCGACAACTGACATTTGCCAATGGAATCGCAGAATGTGAAGTATGTAAATGTTGCAATTGTTGAGCATAGTGGAATCAGTCTATTAGTTTTTTAGATATAAATCGAAGTGCAATAACTGCAACTGCAGCTTGTCGCTGTGTGCAGGGCATCTCCTAGTCGGTCACTTCCAAGAAGGACACCCTCACCTTTTTTATTTTTATTTTTTGGGGGGGTCGTGTGTTGTTTGGCTAATTGAAACTTATGGAAATTTTGTTGGGCCCAGGCTCTTAATTAATAAGCAAAAGTCCGGTTCGATTTTATGGGCTTATCAATGGACGGGCTGCTCCCTATCCCCCCCTCTAAGCCCTAACGCCCCCCTCTGCCGCTCGACTTCGCTTTTTATGGGCAAAAACTCGCAATGAATATTTATGTGGGGACTTTTGTTGTTGTTGTTGTTTGTTGTGGGTGCAGCCAGTAGCCAACAGCTGTTGACAGCCGCACCAGTTGCCCAAAATAGCGTTTCTTATGAAAAAGGGGGGGGCGCCACCCCCGCCCCCATAGTTCCCCCCTTCCCCCTCTTCCCACAATCCCTCATAAACAGGCAGCAGCTCTTCGTGTGCTGTTTTCGGCTCTAATTTTATTAACACGTTCATCATTCTATGCCACTGCCACTGCCACTGGCTGTGGCACAAGTGGCGCCACCCCCCTTTCCCCCCTCCCCCCACTTATACAATTATCCACCCCCCCCCGCCTTGCAGCACTTGTCTGGCGCGCTGAGGACGGCAATCAGTCTGCCACAGCAGGCCCGGCTGCTGCTCATTTGGCGCCTGATTTCTGGCACAACGTCACGACGTCGTCGAGAAATATGATGAGAATGGTGAGCAGGAGGAGGGGGAGTGGGAGGAGGGGGAGTGGGAGGAGGAGGAGGGGATGAGGACAGCCTCCGTCTGCCGGCTGCTCCACAATCCATTTTTGGCGGCGGCATTTTAATATTGTATTATGTTTGCCTGATGCCAGGGCGAATTAATAAAAATTATTGCATATATTTGTAATTCAGGGCGAGCTTCAGCTTTATTGCGGAAAAGTGTTGTGGGGCACGGAGGAGGGGAGGGGGGGCAAATGGAGCAGCTTTCAGTCTGTTGTGTGGCGCGTGCTGCTGCCTCTTTATTGTCCTCTTAAGCATAGCTGCCCGGCAAACATAGGGTATACAATGGTTTCTATTAAAAGAGGCGCAACAACATTTTTGATTAGCATACAAAGTGGAGACTGAGAGGGTAAGAGAGCGAGAGAGGGAGTTGCGAGAGTTAAGAGGAAGTAGGAAGAAGAGTTATTCCCAGTGAAGTTAGGGTATACAATGAGTGTAGTATATAAAGGCAAAAGTCAACTAGACTTTAGTACTTGCATCCCCTTCCTTTAATCAACTTTTGACTTTTGCTTGAAAGACTTGTCTCAAAATCGATACTTTACTGAGAGAAAGAATGTGAGAGAGGGAGAAGAGTTATCCCCAGTGAAGTTAGGGTATACAATATGGCTAAAGGCAGCTAAACTTGACTACTTTAACCGCCTTCCTCTTATCAACTTTGACCTATGCTTGAAAATCCTGACTCAAAATCTATACTTTTTGATTGTTCAAGTATGAAGACAGATACAGAGAGAGACAGAGAGAGAGAGAGAGAGAGAGAGAGAGAGAGAGAGAGAGAGAGAGAGAGAGAGAGGAGGAAGAGTTATGCCTCTGCTGCAAACTGAAGACAGATGGGAAGAGAGAAAGAGAGAAAGAGAACGAGAGAGGCAGAAGAGTTATTTCCAATGTAGTTAGGGTATACAATGTGTGTATAGTATATTGAGGCAAAAGTCAACTAGACTTGACTTTGTTAATTCGCTTCCTCTTATCAACTTTGACTTTTGCTTGCAAATCTTGCCCCAAAATCGATACTCTTCGATTATTCGCAGCTTGTGCCGCAATTGTCTGGCTGTTTTATAAAGTCGTGATTATATAACCGAGTTTATATATCGTTAAATATATATCTTATGGCTAAATCTCAGCTCCAGCTCGCCTTTGTCCACAATTTAGATGATTTTATTTACACTTGAAGCTGTTGTCATTCATTATATTTGCACTAAACCAAAACGATTTATTGCAAGCGCTTGTCCCAGCCACTTGCAGTATCTGTATCTATAGCTATATATGTATCTATAGCTGCATTTGTATCTGTATCTGTTAGCTGCATCTGTATCTGTATCTGTTAGCTGCATCTGTATCTGTATCTGTTAGCTGCATCTGTATCTGTATCTGTGAGCTGTCGTCACGTCACGTCGTGATGTTACTTTTTATCGATTACATTTCACGCCAAAAGAGCAGCTGAGTTTGGGCGTGGAGTACGGTTTCCATGGCCGGAGGAGGAGGAGGAGGACGTTGCCTGCCGGTTGTTGACTCTGCTGATTTATTGTTGCATGCAACAGAGTACTCCTCCCCTCCTTCTCCTCCTTCTCCTCCTCCTTCTCCTCGTCGTCGTCGCATCTCAGCTGCTGTTCCGCATTCTCGCATTGCCATATAGAGCTCCACTCTAGTCTGGGTCTCTCTGTCTCTGCCCTCGGCACACCTCTTGCGCCTCTAATCAATTTCAGTTAACCTCCCACACACCCCCTCTCCCCCTAGCCCCCCACCACCAAGCACTTTATAGTTTGTATACCCTTTTAAAGGGTATCATGAAATGTTAAACCAATAGAAGATGACATCTTCGAAGACATCGATAGACAAAGACATCTATAGAGTATACATATATATATATATATATTCTCGATCCGTATCAACAGACGAGTCGAGCAAAACCTGATACACTTCGGAAGAGTATATCATATAGCTCTATAAGAAATATTGGACCAATAATTTGCCAAATTTTCTTTATTTTCTTGAGTTTCATTCCCAAACTTGACCCCTATATACTCCTCTGTTGCTCGGTTAGGGTACCTAATCTTCGGCGCGCCATTTCTAGTCATTTTCTCTGGCTTTTTGTCACTTTCCATCAGCTGTCGGCGGCGGCGACGTTGATTGCCGCCGTGATATCTGGCAATTAAATTGTCGTTCTTAATCATCGGCCAAGTGCACTAATTTATTGTGTGCTTAATTACTTTCGCATTTCATTTAATATATAAATTACCAACCCCCAACCCCCTCTTGCTTTTTTTCTTTTTTAAATGCACTTTTTTCAGAGCCAATGCGGGTCACCAACATTCGAGAAGGAGCTGCGCGAGCAAATTGAGAAGTAAGTGATCAATTTTCCTATATATTCTACACATAAGTGTGTGTGTGTTGTGTGTCGTGTGTGTGTGTGTGTTTGTTGTGTGTGAAAAGTTCAGCTTAAATAGCATGTATTACCTCTTACTTTCATTTATTTATCAATCTACACTAGACAACACAACCAAGAATACAATAAACTATTCCTTCTACCTTTTCCTCCTCCTCCATGCTCATTTCTTTTTATTTCAATTAAATATTAGGCTAACCTCCATGGTCACTTTTGATTAAAAATAGTTTTCAAACTATGCGTCACAGCTCGCTTTTTTTCCATGCTTTGTCCTCCATGGTCAGTTTGTAGGGCAGCAGAGCTTTAAAGGGCTTGTTAAATGGAATGTTGTACAAATATTTGTTTATGCAAGCTCTTAAGTGGCCTGTAATTGTTTCGTCTGTTTGTGGAATTCGTCGAAGCATTCCAGTTGCTTATCTAGCGGCTTATCAGAGGCTTACCTCTTGAATAAACTTCAACTGAATTGGAGCATAGCAACGGTTAGTTGTTATGTGTACACTGGCCTACAAAATATGTGTATTTACACTGTTTTCATGGTAGAGCAAGTCGAATGAGTAGCTTAGCTGGCGGGAAGTTTGGAAAGAAGAGGATAAATAAACGAAATTGGAGGAATACTTGATTTGATCCTGATTGTCGCGTCCGAAGGTGAAGTTGCAATTTGAAGATTTACGCCTGTTACTCCAATTTTAAAAGAGGCAGCTTATTTAGCGCAAGAGTTTTATTCTGATTGGAACTTAGATATATATTCCCACAGAAACTTACCACAGTCCTTCCTCCTACACCTTCCAACTCACCACAGCAATGAGCTTAAGATTTAAGCAATGGCGGCAGACACAAACTGCCCATACTTTCAAAAATACATACCTTCACCAACAAAAAAATACTTAATACTAAACAATCGATAACTTAATACGTCCCGCAACACTGATCATTCCCGAGCCGGAATCTGCTAAAGAGCAAAGTTGTAATTTCTGGAAATACAAAAAGCCACATAAGGGAATTATGCAAATAATATGTTGGCCACGGACTCAAATATTTACGAGCGTGGCCAGAAGCCTTATGTTTTATGCATTCCATTTGGAAAACTACACGAGCAGCAAGTAAATTGTAATTCAAATGGACGCCCTCCTCCCACCCCCGTCCCCTCTCCGTGAACAGCTTGATAATGTATATGCTTGTTTTTGTGGATTTTCCGCCACATAATTATGCAATTTTAGAAGAGTTTTCGCGCAAGGAAAAGAAGAGAAAATATTTCATACAAATTCGTGACTAAGAACGCCTCCTCCGAACCGAGCGCCATTACGCACCGAGAACTGAGCAGCCGGGCCGGGGCCGGGGCCAGGGCCAGGGCCAGGGACAGGTCTTCGCGTTAGCCAAGTTAACGGCACTGAATGCAATTTTCCAAATTACTGAGCAGCGGCCCTGACAGCCGGTGCCGGGGCCAAAAGCGAATGGCTTGGAAAGCCAGCTGCCGGAGATTGAGACTGCGACTGAGGCTGAGGAGAAGGAGAAGGAAGCAGCAGCCAGGCGGGAAGCATTTATTTACAGTCGACAGGGCCCGGGCCTTTGCGAGAGCAGCCCATCAATCAGTCGGCAGCAGAAACAGGCAGAACGCTGGTTCAAATTCCGGCCTAAAACCTAATTACGCCAATTCAAATTCGCGCTTACTTTTAGCTGGTCAAAAAGCGTTTTCTTTAAGTTAAGCCACACACACACACAGGTACACACACACGCACGAATGATTTGCAACTTGTTTTTCATTTATACAACATTTATTTTTTGTCTCTTTTCTGCACACTGCTTGCTCCGCTTCTCTGTCTCTTTCACACCAACGCGCACGCGAACTCGTCCGCGCTTTCAGCATGAATCGCATTATGAAATCCAAAGAACGCAAACAACTGCAAACATGTCGGGATCACAAGGCTCTCCAGGTATGTACCCCATATTTATATAAATATAAATATATATATGTATATATATCCCAGTTAGTGGGGGGGCTGGGGTTGGATTGCTTTTGCTAATGTTGTGCTTTACGTGCTGTAGCAGAAGCTGCGAGGGGTGCTCTGTAAGTTTGCCTGAGAAGCTAACAAATTGGTTTGGTTTTTTATTGAAAAAAAAAACCACTTCCGTCTACTCTGAGCTTTATAAAATCTTGGTATATATATCCCATAAGTTTCAGTTAGCCAAAAAAAGGAATACAAATGGGAACTCCTCTAGAAGATACAGATATTCCACCTTCCTTCTATTTGCTTCCACCTCTCAAGCTAAACATACCCTATATTATCTAAGGAATATTCATTCTTGATTAACTTCAACTCTTAAAGATTGATATATAATATGATAATGTATTTATATCCCAAATTGCAAAGGTCTAGGAAAGTGTGTTTCTCTTTGAATTTTTGGAGAAATAGAACAGATAGCAAAAGAGTAAAAGACTCCTAATCTATATATCTTATAGAAGAATCTACTAACCAAGCTAAGTCTAGCTAGTTCTTCTAATTTACGAGCTATGCTCCAAAAGCCAAGTCTCTAGCTGAGTCGGCCAGAGAGACGGACGTTTTTTATGGAGGAATAGGACATATATCCAAAGACTAAATGATTCCCAATCTTTATACACTATAAAAGAATCTACTAATCGAGCCAAGTCTATCTAGCTCTTAAAATTGTCGAGCTATGCTCCAAAAGCCAAGTCTCTAGCTGAGTTTCACACAGTCGGGCAGACCAGTCGGACGGAAGGAACAAGTTTTCGCAGGTCCCTCGCAGTGCACAGCATGAGGAAAATACAATTTGCACTGTGGCAAAGAGTTTTCAGTTTTTCCGCTTACTGTTTGAAGTCGTGGTTGGAGTCTGGCAGTCTGGACTGGGGCGGCGCTATCGAAGAAGCAGACAAAGGCGAAGACGAAGACGAAGTCTCAACGAACTCATAAATAAACGCATAAATTCATTTTTAAGAACAATGTTTCCCCTCGCTCCCATTCGGCGCATACAAATTGTCGCTTATCTGGGCCCGGCTGGCAAAATGGGGCCGTTGCTAACATTGAGGCTGAAACCGAACCAGAAAAAGAAACAGCGACTGCGACTGAGACAGAAATTGTTTTGCCTGCCACATTGTTTTTAATATACCCTGTAGCCAATGCAAATGGCAGCAAAATGGCATAAGGAAGTCTTTAATAGGCTTCGACTTTGTAATGTTCTCCTCCCTCTAATAAAAAACGTTAAGGATCTATGGGTTCTTACATTTCATACGCAGAGAAAGTTCATCCGCTTGACTTTCTATGTTTCGATAAAATTCGCTTTTGAGTTCCTATTCTTAAAGTATATCTTGAAACTGGAATATCATATCTTCTTCTTTTTAAGTGGTAGAGCTAGGATTTTTGTTATATATATATACTTGAATGTCATCTTTAAGTCCTGAAGGTTTCGTCGCAATCGAAGATCAAACATTGAAGTTATTTAAGATTAACTTTTTCTTATGGTAAAGAGAGAGAAACAGCTGGTATATTCTGGAACATCTATTCTCCTCCATTCTTAGAGATGGATCTAGGATTTTTGGTATATTTATCTACTTGAATGTCATCTTTAAGTCCTGAAGGTTTCGTAACAATCGAAGATCAAACATTGAAGTTATTTAAGATTAACTTTTTCGTAAGATAAAGAGGGAAAATCACTACCGAAGTTGGGTATATTCTGGCATATCTATTCTCCTCCGTTGTTAGAGATGGATCTATGATTGTTGGTATATTTTTCTACTTGAATGTCATCTTTAAGCCCAGAAGGTTTCCTAGCGTTTGGGGGATAAACCTTAAAGTTATTCAAGATTAACTTTTTCCTATGGTAAAGAGAGAGAAGAACTCCCGTATTTGGGCATAGAGTATCTCCTAGTCGAGCACTCTCGCCTACAAGCTTCTTATTCTATTTTCTTAACTTGTGCGTCTTTTACTTATTTTTTATTTTTGTGTAAATTGATTGAGCGTTTGCATTAGCGACGCTTCACTGCGCTCCACTGCGGCATCTTTTCAGGCAAAGCCAGCCCCAGACCCAGACCCACATCCAACTCCCCAACTCCTCAACTCCAGGCGGCGCACAGTGGGTGGCTGTTAAGATTTGTTACCAAATTGTTTTAGCTGAGCTTTAAGCCAAGTTAAAATCATTTTCTGTTAAAGCGACTCTAATGAAGCCCAAGGTTTTCCACACACAATCCAAACTCACGATAGCTCTCAATAGCTGCATTGACCCTCGCGCCAGTTAACAAGACTTTTGTTTGGGGAGGGGGAGATTGGGTTTGGGGGGGGTGGGGGGGGGGACAATTTGGATGCATGTAACTATTCATTTAGCACTTCAATTTGTGGCCAGGCCAAGCGAAGTGTTTGATAAATTGAGGCATTGAGGCGACCCTCGTCAATGCAATGTGTCGGGCGCAACTGGCATGGATTTGGCCCAAGCAATTTGATAGGTTGACCGAACAAACAAAGGCTGCAAGCTGGTTCAAACCCGCTTTTTAATTTGACTAGCTAATGAACCTTAAAGTGAATTAGTAGCTTAAACAAATGGTGGAAGCTAAAGCTAAGTCGAACCATGATTAAAGAAAGCCATGGTTCAAACATTGGTTTTGTTTGGTGAAAAAGCGCTGGTTCGACCCCTGCATCGAACCAGCGACCACAACCTCATGGAACTAAAGCTAAGTCGAACCATGATTGAAGAAAGCCATGGTTCAAACTTTGGTTTTGTTTGGTGAAAAAGCGCTGGCTCGACCCCTGCATCGAACCAGCGACCACAGCCTCTTGGAACTTGAGACCCCGCTCAAAACTAATAAGTTTTTCTCTTTCCGTCTCCTCCTCCTGCCTTTACCCAGACACGCTTTGCGCGCCAGGAGAGTCTGCTGCACACGATGCAGCAAGAGAATCGGGCGCTGCTCACAAGGATCAGGCAGTACGAGCACTGCCTGGACGATGTGATGCGCAAGGTCGTGGATGCAATTGTCGCCGAGGATAACCTACGCGAGGAGGTGAGCATGCTGAAGAGTCGCGTCCGCGATCTGGAGGCACAGAACGCGGCGCTGTCGGCGAGTCCGGTCAAGGGACGCGACGAGGGCTACTGCACGATGAGCAGCGGCCAGCCGCAGCCGTCGAATGGTCATCTGGAGGATCTGCCCGAGGAGCCGGAGCAGTGGCTGCTGCCAGCGGAGCCGTGCTCCACGGAAATGGAGGACTGGAGCATGTCGCAGGAGGAGCTGGCTGTGATAACCTTCGACGATGAGCGCGAACAGCTGCAGCTGCAGCGCCGCAAGCGGGAGCACGACTGGCTCTGGCCCTCGAGCGACTTCATCAATTCGACAACCGTTGAGACCGACGACTCGGTGGCCGACGGCATTGCCCAGCTGCTCCAGCAGAAGGTAGGTGCTCCATTCGGGTTCAATCGGGTTTGTTTTTACGAAGATTTATAATTCCTTGCAGCTGGTCTACTCGGAGGATGAGGAGGTGGCCTGCACGGACTTTACCAATGATTTTTACAAGCTGGTCAACATACGCTCCAATTCGTCGCGCAGCCTCTTCTCCTATCTGGAGGGCGAGACCGACGATGAGGATGAGGACGACGAGGATGAACAGGACTCGAGCATGTCGGAGAGTCAGACAAAAGCGCGCGTCAGCCCGACGCCCAGCGAGGCGGGTCGCGCACAGCTGACCAGCTGCTCCTCCAGCGAAACCGATGACCACTCGCTGGCCCAACAGCCGGCGCAGGCGGAAGAGGAGGAGCACGACTATGCCGTGATTGAGGAGTGCCGAGTCGAGGATGTGCCGCTGGCAAACACGGCGCCAGCTCTGAACGAACAGCAATGCATAGCACAGATAATCAAGAGCGAACTGCGCCGACCAAATCCCGTGCTGGTCAAGTCGAAGTCGGTGCTGGAGGAGCAGGAGCCCAGCTGCATACTGCGCCACAATCAGCGGCGCGAGCTCGAGTCCAGCGTGGTGCGCAGCGACAGCATCAGCTGCGCTCTGATGGCCAAAATGGCCAAAGAGACGCCGCCGCCGCCGGCCCCAGCGGTGGTATCCAAGCTGAAGGAGCGTCTGCTGCAGCGGCATGCGCCGCCGCCGGCGCCGGCCAACTCCTGGCGGCGCAGCAACGGCTGGAAGCGTGTCACCTCGCCGGTTGCCGTTGCACCAAAGAAGGTAAGCGACTTCTTCATGCTGAAAGAGACTTTTTTATATATACATTTGTCTTGCAGGAAACAAAGTCAACGGAGTTGCCAAAGAGCTGCCAGCAGAAGGCGCCGCCCACGCGAATTCCAACGTGCATACACACATCCTCAACATCCACGAGCTCATCCTCCAGCTCGTCGTCGCCATCTTCACCGTCGCCGCAGCAGACGACGACGACGACGACGACGCCGCAGAAACCGCCAGCGCAGCAGCCGCAGCGCAAATCCAAAATTCCGCCACCCGTTCCCGTGCGTCGTTCCTATGCCAGCTAAAAAAGAGATGACACGCCCCCGCCCCCCCCGAAAGATAATCTCAAACGAGCGACAAAACAGGAGACAAATGCTCCACAATAGATTTAAACATTTAAAAAGACTAAATTGTGATATATATTCAAACTAAAACGAGAGGGAGAGAGAGAGAGAGAAAGGGAAGCAGGAGCAAAAATTAACTTTGTATTCACGCATCAGTGTTGCCAATATAGCTATTTTCCAGCTAAATTTAGCTACTTCTGGCACCTCGAACAACTCTGTTAATGGCCAATTTGATAATTGAACTTATTCGACTTAAAATTGGATTCAGCTAAAGTTGGCAGCACTGCGACGAATACATCATATTTATATTATACACATATATATGCATAAGTTTTTTTGGATAATGTTTATATATTATGATTGTTCCAATGTATTCTCACAAGCAACACGCTCGACGTGCTCTATACGCTTTTGTAGAGCAGCGCTCGCAGCGTGCCCGAGACATATGTGTTCCCAAATTGCATTTCCAACTGATAAAGAAAATACTTCAAAAATGATTTATATATATATAAAAAAAACTATATAATCTGTATACAATATTTGCATAATTTCTATGGAATAGCCAAAACTTTGCAAGGTGTAAAGAAAACTAAAACTAAAGCCCAAACAAACTACTCAAACTATTAGCTATCGTACAGAAAAGAATACTTATATATATATACATTAAAAAAAAATGTAGTCTTCCGCACAAAATCAAGTGTATTTAGAGCATGTACTATATAGATTTGTAGAATGTGTTTATCAGTTAGATAACAGATCAGTTGGCAGACTTTTGTATGAAATGGGTGAAATGCAGAAACAAAACATAAAGGTACAGTAGATATACAGATATACATATATATATATGGTTTCGAAGCGAACGTAAAACAAGGCGATAACAATAAACTGTAAATAGAGATATATATATATATGTAATACAGCTCTTCTTCTACTCTCTAGTTAGTCTCTTTAAGTAGCAACCGATGTGAACTACTCGGTTTTCGCAATCACATCCTAAGTACGAGTTATATATATATATATATATACAGTATATACGAACTATAGCAAACGCACTACGCCCGACAAATGAGAAATTATAAATTTAAGCTCGTATAAAGCATTATAAATGTATTTTCTTAGCGTAGCAAGTACAAAAGTAAACAATAAACAAAAAGAGTTACGAAAAAATAAATTATTAAACCAACTAGCAACGTTTTTTGCATTCAACAATTGTATAAAAATTAACTAATAACTAATGCTTCCATATTTTACAAGTTTAAACATAATCTATGCGGTAAAACTAATCACAAAAACATATTTTAAAATGCAAATTCTTACAGATAGATATTCATTAGCCTAGGCTCTTGACCAAAATAAGTTCTAAACGTTTTTGTAGCTGGAAAGCGCCTAAACGCAGCTCGGGCTGGCTCGGCCAGCAGCTTTTGTACAGCTCGCTATAAGCACCTTCCAGGCACGTGGCCGGAATCGTTGAGTGATTATCAAAATACTCTGTTAATCGCGGCTGTTTGCGCGGCTTATGCCGCTTGTGCACACGTCCATGTGTGGCATCAAAGTTCAGATTGCGACGCGCTTTTTTGTACAAATCTCTTGAGAGCACCACATCCAGCTGTGGATTAATTTCATTAAGGTAGTTCACATCCGCAGAGTTATGCTTCCAGCTCTTCGCACGCTGCGCCGCACAGTAGCATCCGTTCAAAGGCAGGCCTAGCTGTAGAGCCTCGAGCAGCGCATAGTTGTCGGGGCGCAGTTCGTGTTTAACCACCTGATATGCAATGGACTCGTTGCAGTTGAGCGTGTAATAGGGCAAGCGGCGAGCCTGCAACTGCCACATGGTAATGCCCAAGGAGTAAATGTCCGAGGCGCTGCTCAACGGCGCCGCACACAAAGCCTCTGGCGACATATACCGCAGCGTGCCCTTTGCGCTGCTCGGCTCAGCAGCACACGACTCGCCCATCCGAATGGAGCATCCAAAGTCGCACAGCTTGCAAATATAGCTGCGCTCATACTGGCCCAGTTTGCCAAGCCCCTGCGACTTTGTGCCCAGTGCAACGAGCACATTTGATGGCTTCACATCCAAGTGCAGCAGCTGCCGACGATGACAGTAACGCAAAGCGGCGAGGATATCGAGCGTTATGCTGAAAAAGTACACAATACTATATATATGTGTATGTAAGTATGAATATATATTAGAGCCCTGCATCAAGTCAAGAGCATGGTTAATCGAACTTCGTTTGTATGAATGTCTTTGGGATTGGTGATGCAAGGCTCTTATATATATCAAACTGCAACTCTTACAGCACTCTGTGCACAAGCGGAAGCGTTAGCGTATCTGTAACACGCTGCAGGCACAGCCCACTGGGTCGCTCCATGATGAGTAAGCCGAACTCAGGCGTTGATTCCAGCTTTATCAGTCGCACGATATTCTTGTGCTTCCAGTTCAAGACATGCGCCTCATTGTGCAATGTGGAAATGGCGCCGGTTTTTACCATTTTCAATGCCACGGCGTGCTCTATTAATATATAAAATAATTAAATTATGTGCGAGCGGCAGACATTTCCTCGGCATACCACGATATATGGCTTTGAAGACTGTGCCATAGGCGCCACGCCCCAAGATCTGACACCTGCTGGGCCTAATTGCCGGTGGACCATCCTTGAGCAGCTCAGTGCGCTTTGGTGTGGTGAGCACCAGGGCATTTTCTTTGTTAGCAGCCTTTAAAAAAGACCTGCAATTGATTTTTTATTAATGTTAAATGCATTTAATTCGTGTTCTTACATTTTCAAGATGCCGTTATACGCCAGCTGACCAGTGTGACAGCGTTGCGATCGTACTGAAATAAATACTAAAAATACCGCAGTGTTTTAAAACTATAGCAGGCTTAGTGTCGTTATATTTAGACTAATTAATGATACACACTTTTACTTAAAGTAACCGTTCACAATAGTTTTTTTTTGTTTTTTTTTTTTAAGGATGCTTCGAATTGTTTTGCTCGTTTAGCACACTGGCAGCATAAGCCTCATACTACAAGTAAAAATGGTAAATACAATAAATATATATAACATTTTATGGAGGCTTCATTTTGGGCTTAATACTATAAAAATAAATAAGCTTTATGTATGTATGTCTTCTGCTTGAATCTCCGAGCTAAGGTTTCTAAGCGCGCTCCCCGTGTAATCTCTCCGTCTCGCTGCGCAAGGCCTGCAATTAGCAAAGGATTCAAATAATTATACAATTTATAATGCTGTGATGCATTGTGAAACCCACTCGAAAGGCATCTTGTATTTTGTCCGTTATGAGTTTTCGTGCCACAGGCTCCGGCACACGTTTATCTTTAAGGTCCTGCACGAATGCGTTCAGATCGAGGGGCTCACCAATGTTTATTGTGACCTTTTTGCCCCAGTGCAACTTGTACGGCTCCACGTTGGGCAGGACATTGTCCATGCCCTCGTGCCACAAGGGCACAATGATTGGCATGCGTGGCGATTCATAGATTATCCGTCCCACGCCCCATTTCAGACGTAAGTCCTCCTTCTCCATGTTCACCTTGCCCTCTGGAAAGATGTGCACCCAGTGACCCAAGGCGCACTTCTCAATGCACAGATTGATTGCCTCCTGGTAAACACCATGGCCCCGCACAACCGGTATGCATTTGCCTGCAAATACGCAGATATGTATCACAGATATTTAATGAATGTCTTCAAAATTAATAGTTAAATATATTTTAGGTAAATGCCGTCACTTACCGTACATAAAGAACATGGCGTGCATCTTCTTGGTGAAGCATATGTCGTGGGCTGCCATGGACCACCTGATGCGAAATGTATTGCACGCATAACGGATGGGCAAAATGCCCCAGATGCCGGGATCATCGAAGCAGGAATAATGATTGGAGACGGTCACCAAGGGTATGCCCTTGGGTCGCTTGGCAACAGCTTTCATGAGACGCTCCTTGTTATGGACTTTTGTTTTATTCATTAGAACTGAGGATGTCAACAAAAGTAGCGATTAGCTCTTTATCCAATTGTAGGAAACTGTAATTTGTGACAATCCTCGACTATCTATATATATGTCCACAAAATCTGGCAAATTTTGCTTAATAAGAAAACAGGAAGAACCGAAGCATGACCATGAAGGTCCACATAAAGCGATCGAAGACAAATTCGCGCCAAAAATATACATATAAGTATACTATATACATATATAAGATATAGTAAAACAAAAACTAGATCGTCACGCCGAGCATTAAATACTCGAAAAACAGGAAAGGATTGCGAAAACTCATTTTACGATCGATTCTTCCAATGCGAGCTAAATGATATGGTAGTCAGATGTTGATAAGAATTTTGTTGTATGTGTAATAATATGTATCTTGTCTAATGCCTGGTTTAATTCACAGCAGGTCGTTTTAAGGCTATGTCACGTGTGCTTACCTAGGATAATCTTGCTGATGAGGCCAACGAGAGTAATCACAACTTGACTTGTTATAAACCAAAGCGTGGAGGGATTGCGCAGCCGGGGAAATATCCAATCGATGGGATAGGGTATTTCGACGCCCGATGACATGTTCGACGATGTGGAGCCCTTGTTCTGGGAGCGGCTTTCCTGTTCTTTCAACTCCTTTTCCGTGGACTGCCTGATGCTATGCGATGATAGATTTATGTGCAGACTTTCCGTCTGCTGTGACTGATCCCTACACTGCGCCGTCTGCTGTGACTGATCCCTCTTCTGCAGCGGCTGCGGCTGCAGTCCTGGCGGGGATCTATCATCGGGCATTGGGCGAGCCTCGGGGGCCTGAACGTATAGCTGTGTATTGATGGAAATGGAGTTTAACATGATGCCCAAGCAAATTCCAATTGCCACCCACGGGCCGACCTTCATCTATTCGTACATATGGAAGGTCAAAGACTACTTTTCTCTATGCTACATTCGGATTCAAGAAAAGTCTCAATTTGTTGCTCGTTGACAACAATTTGAGCAGCTGGTTTTCTTCTAACTAAAGGGTGCATGGATTTAACAGGCTGAAGAGGTTTCTCCAAAAGCCGAGTCGATCTGCCCACGTCCGTCAGTCCCCGTCGATCTCTGGAACTATGAGAGCTAGAGACTTTATATTTTGAACGTAGATTCTCGTAATGCTCAAGTTTATTTAAAATCAACGATAAGATTCCCGACCTCGATTTGTATAGGGTATACCAAGGAGTATACAATATGCTACTTTTTGGAAACCTTCTTCGTTTCCCTCCAAATTATATTCGTTTCCCTGCCTTAATACAATAAAAGCTCTCAGAGAGGACATCTGTTGAATGGGCATTACCCGAGAAGCAGGGTTTTTTACTGTCCACCTGTTTGCTTAAGTTTTCGGACAGTGCCTTCCGTTGGGCGGACGCGGGACGATTTTAATAAAAATTTTACATTTCACAAAACAAACAACGAATACGTACAAATTTAGACATCGATAATATATGTTTGTGTTTTTTCATTTTTGATCTTTGACATATCTTAAACTCGTCGGACCAAGAGACTGTTCGCTCACGCGAGTCTTCACTGTACGCAGACACTTGAAAGTTCAATCAGAACAGCTTTATTTTTGTTTAATTGACCCGCCTTCAATTAATTTCGTACATTCGCAGTTGTTCAATTAAATGATGCTGGTCTTTTTGCTGCTGTTGTCGTACATAATAGGAATTTTGGGCGGAAGAGATAGACACAACTACACGTCGGCAACTTGGAAGTGTAACTGACGCTTGGTCAAGTACGTTTAGGTGCGTGCAAGGGCATCCAAGAGGCAGAGAGATGCTACGCAGAGAGAGTGAGAGCAGCACGAGCTAATACGCAATCACTTATCAGTTGCAGTGAAGGCACGTTTTTAGAGATTTGCATTGTGGCGTAGCCAAACATGCACCGAGAGATAACACAATCTGTTGCAATTGGATTTCAAATAGCGCGCTCATGCAGAGCAGCCCTGGTCTGTGGTGAATTTCGCTGCGGTGAAGAAAAAAGCGAGCTGACACGTGCCTGGCTAAATGCCATATGCACAAATACATATGAGAAAAAACCAATGATGAGCCCAGAGTACTTAAAATCACACATAAACATAATTTTATCAATAAGGATTAGGTTTAGCCTTAGCTCTTACCCGGGCGCCCAACTTGTACACATGCTGGCCATAGATGCTCCGTGGCAGGTGTTGTCGATGCCAATGCCAAAGGCTGCGCGTGGCAGTCAAGTTCACTTGATCAGGCCGTATCCGCCTTAAATTTGCATAAATAGCCATCAACATGGTAAACACTTAATTTTTTTTTTGATATGTGTGTGTTAAATGTATATATATATATAACTAGGTATGTATGTGTGTTGTTTACTGCACCCGCGGTTTACATAAGAGAATTTTATCTTAGCGAACCACACTTGCAAATTTTGGACTTGCGCCGACGTCCAGGTTAGCTTTCAGCTGGCCAATGTAAGCGCATTCGGGCCCGTGCAGTGCAATTTTGTGCCTAGCGCGTACTTTCGCTGTAGCGCGCATGTCTGGGGGAAGTGCTGTTGCCAAGAAAGCAATACAGTGTAATCTGGGCCAAAAAGGAAAACGAAATAATTTGAAAATTTTCTTTGTAAACAAGACCGAAACAGCTGTGCGTTTTTGCCATTCACAGGTCCCAGTTACATAAGACGGTGTTGCCAGCTTTTTAAATCACAAAAAAAAACGAGTCGTAATATATGTATATTGACTTAAATTTGGAAGTTGATATTTTTATATTAAAGTGAATTAAAAATACGTTAATTTCAAATAACAGCAAAAAGCATGTCACGCAGCGCACGCCCCCTCACCTCAGCCCGCGTGCTGCACAAGATCAAGGAGCTGACCACGCCGGCAACGGATGGCAACTTTGTAATCAATCGCAATCCTCGTAACCTAGAGAGATTGCGCATTGCCTACAAGCCTACGGGCTATCATTTAGAGAAGCCAGGACGTTCGTACTGGCACACACTTGAAATCAACACCAGCGGTCGCTATGTAAGTGCCGATGTGAAGCATTTCGAGAACGGCACCATCCTCAGTGCCAGCACCTCCGAGTGGGCAATCAAGCAGCAATTGTACAAAACCAAGGACACCTCGGCATTTGTCAATCTGGGACGGGTGCTCGGCCAGCGATGCCTGCAAGCTGGCATTACCGAAATGACCTGCAATGTGAATGCAGTGCCCGGCAGCAAATTGGAAAAGCTGCTCCAGGCAGTGCAGGAGAGCGGCATCAGTTTTGAGGAGCCGACCAGACTACCAAACACCCATCCCTGGGATGCCTACAGACACGAGAAGCCCTGGGAGGTTTCTGAACATACTGCAACTGCAGACACAAAAACAACCAAACTTAAATAAAAATAACAAAATAGCTTTGGGTTTCGTATCGTTTAGAATAAACGTTGATTTTTTATGCTAATTAACAATGAAGCAACATCATTGTTTGATTTAAAACTAGCTGCAGTCATTGGAACCGATGGTCTATTCATATTTGCCTTTGATGTCCTTCCAGAGTTTCTGTAATGGCAAAATAGGTTCTTCAGTGCACAATTCAGTCTTACATAAGCAACAAAACTTACGCCTTTGTTGATGGACTCGAAGATCAAGTTCGAGCTGACATCGATGGCGCGCTCAAAGAAGAAGGCTGATGCGAATATGGCCACAGCGTATGTGGACGTACGCTTGAAGAGGGTATTGTAGATAACCTTCATTTTAGCAAGATTTTCAGCAAAATTCGTATTTTTCTAGCAAAATTTGCAGTCGCCTTACACGCCAATTAAACAGCTGTCACAGACAAGTGTCGAGCAACGTCAATTGCTGAGCGTTGTGCGTTTACAGCACTGAAACTGGTCGAATTTTCGTAAAGTGGCAGCCTTGTTGTTTTTCTGTTAGGTGGCAAGGCCAATGAACTATTTTCATCTGAGTCGTGTTTCAACAATTTCTAAGATAAACTTGAAAGTGTGACGAAGCAACAAGCACAGCCTATTCGCTGAATTAGTTTTTCAATTTAGCGGCAATTATATTTCTATATTTTACACATAATGGTTGATTTAACCGATGCCGGCTCACCGTTCCAGCAGTCAATACCCAATCTTGCATTCTATGTGCCGGCTGTTGTTGTTATTGGTTTAGCAGGTGAGTCTCAAATGCATCCCATAGGGAAGCATCGTGTTGCGTCATGCATGCAATAAACCTACCGCCCCTCCTCCCATCACCCCCAACAATCTACTCGCCAATACACACAGTGAACAATATTAAAGCCGCACTGCCAATTGGGTCAAAAGCAAACTTTCACCACGAAAATACAACTAGAATTCAACTGCTGCTAATCGCCCCCCTCTGCGCCACTGCCACTGTTACGTTCTCTGTTAAGCTGTTTTGGAAAGCCGTTATCTTCATTCTTATTGGAATATATATTTGTATCTCTAAAAGTTCTTCTGTTTTTATGTGCGTGTGCATACGTGTACTTGACGCTCTCTGCGATTACGAGTTTCCTTTTCTTTTTATTTCGCCTACGTATGCAACTTTTGCTGTTCAAATTCGAAGTGATAAGTGCCGCGCAGTGATAAGAGCCCGGCAAACATCATTAGCCACTACCCATTGATTGGTCCAGTCAACGCGGCTGAACACGTGCCTCGGCAACACTTAAGTTCGAGTTCGATTTCTGCAAAATGACTTTTTCTCTAAATTGGCTTTTACATTTGTATCTTTTGCTGCTACCATTTGATTTATTTAGTCCTTAGTTGCATGCTCATACTCTATGGTTATATATATAGCCTCGTTCAGCTGATAAGCGTGGCTCTTCAGCCCGCATAATGAAGGCATCTTATCGCACATTTAGTTGGTGCTTATTTATTATTAACTTACTTTTTTGGACAAACTTAGTAATAGCAGGAGAATGAAAGTCGAAGAGTAAATACCCTTGCAGATATAAGGGTTGCGGTTTTTGGCGATATAGGAAGAGAATGATTCTTCCAATATGTAGTTCTATACGATATAGTTGATATATATGGTATATCTATAGTATATCTTGATAACAAACAAGTTGCTGGTATAGGGATAGGGTATTTATATTCGAAGTATCATACCTGAGACTAGTTTGCATAGAAACAAACAGACAACGATGACTATATCAACTGATCAAGAATATATATATATTTAATTGGATCTGGGATGCATCCTTTTAGACGTTACACATTTCATCTATAAGTTATAATACCCGCTGCGAAAAGTTATAAATATGCTGACGCTTACGCCGGACGCGAAAAGCAAAATACAAAGCGCAGCGAAACGAAAAGCGACAACTACCTGGCTCTCGTATATATCTCACAAATAACGAAATATAAGCGGGCTGATTACAAATAAGTGTCAATTTATATATTAGATTTGATTTTTAGCGTTCAGTTTGCCAAAGCAGCCGGCGATGCAGCACGTTAGTTGCGCTCACATTTAAAAAATATACATCAATTACGTCGAGTGAGTTTAAGGAATAAACAAAAATAAAAAGAAAAACTGTATTCAGCTTTAAAAAAAAAAAGAAAAAAAGGTTTTACCAACTCGCAGCCGGTAGGATTCGAACCTACGCTCCCAGAGGGAATCTGATTTCGAGTCAGACGCCTTAACCACTCGGCCACGACTGCTGTTGAGGGTACGCGTCTAAAATGCCATAAGAGAGCATTGCGTGCGCGCGCGCGTCTCTGCGAGCGAAATCTCACGCCGTTCGCTTTGCCACGTTGAATTTTGTGTATTGTCATAAATCAATTTAAATCGTTTATTTTATTTGCGTTAGCAATATTTTTCTCTTCTATATGCGCCTAGTAATTAATATATGTGTATAAAAAAGTAAACAAAAAAAGCTGCTGCATGCTTAAAATAGTTTTCCAGTCTAGTTAGTTCTATAAATATGCTCGAGATTATTTTGCCTGCTTTGAAGGCTTTGATTAAATTCTAAGATTTTACAATTTCCAACCCATGCAGAGGCAATAAACCGTTAAGCAAGCCCCACGTCAACGTAACTTAGTTAAAGCACAAGAAAATATGGCAGAAGATCCACTAAATCAGCAGGCATTTGCCGAGGATGTGGCCGCTGCGGCAGCAGCTGGCGGGGATCAGGGTTTCGCCATGCCGCCGGGTTCGGGTCCCGGCTCGCCAGACTTTAAAATGCCCAGTGCCGATGAAATCTGGAAAATGGTCGAATCAATGGAAGGCCTGTCCGACGATGAACGTGCCGAGCTGCGCGAAAATATATATAATCCGAAGCCGCCGTCGCCGGAGGATTACATGAGATACGGACATCCGGGCCACAGTTCCAGAGAGTATTTGGTATTCTTTGTGATGATAACGCTCATACTAATCGTCTTTGGTAAGCAGAGTTCTTCTTCCCTGTCACAATTCCAATGACCAACCTCGCCAAAAGTGGCACCTATCACGCAAACATATAGATAAATAAATACACATATATAAATATATATATATATATATATACATTTATATATGTGATTATGTGGATAGTGTGCGCTGTTAACACACTCAGACGTAAACATCGTTTAGAATGTTGGTTTATTGGTGTTCGATTTTCGATAAGATAGGAGAAATCCACCACAAAAAATTGTAAAACGCGGCAAATCATAACGACAAAAGCTTTGGACGTTGTCAGACACCGGGCTAATGCCGATTATCTTATTTTGTTTGTCATCAAATTTGGTACCCCAAAATTCTCTAGAAATAGCACAAGTATGAGTTCGGGCGAAGAGTCCATTATTGAGCAGCTGAAGCGCTCGGTGGAGACCTTGGTGGCCAAGACGGGGCCGCATAGCAAATTCGCTGAGGATCTTATACAGAAAATTGGCAATTTACAGGCCAAAATGGATTCCCTAACCGAAAACGATCGCCACAAGTTCCTTGGCGAGATGAAGGGCTCCATTCAGGACGCAATTGTGCGCATCGAGCGCCGTTTGCTGCAGCATTCGCACATTGCCCAGACCTATACCACGTCCATTGTGGTAGCTGTGATATTCCTTGTCGTCTCAGTAATCGGTTAATTCTTGAACCTTTGACACACACCTGCATGGAAGAAGCCGCCTCTAACGATATCTCTTCCCTTTTAACTCTTCCAGCTCTATTTGGCTTCAAGCTGTACAAGTCGCTGATGGAGAAGGAGCTCAAGAAGCGGGAGAAACTCAAGAGCAAACAGCAAAAGAAGACAAAGAAGTCCAATTGAATTTTGGGTGCAACGCCCCCCACATATTGCCTATAGCTTCTGATACTTCCGGCTTGCGAGCAAACCCCGAGCGCAGACGCTGTGCAATAGATTCTTAAAAAATTTATATTAAATTGAATATATATATTGCGTTTTTCCTTTAAATGATAATCAAAATAAATTCCCTGTAAATGAATAATGAATAATGAATAATTGTATATCCATGTACGTGTAGCATTGCAATATACAAGTTATATAGTTTAAAATGAAATTGAAGTGCGTGTTGATTTCACAGATAACAAACACATTTATTACCATTAAATCCAGCCATGACATTTCGTGACTTGGCCAAAACTTGTTGCTGCTCCTCCCCAACAATTTTTGGATGCCTGCCCAACTAACTACCTTTATGAGCTGTCGGCACCCAATAAACATTGTCGTTGCCATGGCAAATAAATAAATCGTTTTGTCGAAGCTTCTTCCGTCAGCTCGAAGCATTTTTTTTTTAGTTTATTGAAGTCATTTTGAAGCAACAGATCGTATACAACACAAGTGAATATATATACATATATAATAAAATAATGGCTTATTCGAATCGTGAGTATAATTGCATATATATTTAATAGAATATTCGTCTAATCGCCTATGTCCTATTTCCAGGTGGATTTGATTTTTATCTGCCATCGGGCGGCTGGTGCAATCCAAAGGATGACATGTACTTTCGCCGCAGTGTCGAGTGGGTGCCCGTGCGGAGCGCTGGAATTGGACGCTCCTTTGCGATTAACAACGGCGTTATATATCCACGTGTGATTGGCATGTTGCCGCGCTACGGTGGACATGTGCCCGGCGAGATATATAACGTGGGGCACTCCTTTGGGCGTTCCACCGTCGACGCCAAACGCTGGCTGGCCCTGCATCATGAGTAAAACTCTAAGCAAAATATAAAACAAAAATTGCAAGCTGCATAGGCACGTTAAAAATTCTATAAAGTATTTTACAAAATTAAATAAAACACAAGTTAGCTAAAATTTAAACTGTATTTAGTTTGAATTTAGCGCCTAACTGCTGGCCAGTGCTGCCACACGTAATATTTTGCGAACGCATGCGAACGGTCACACTTGGCGCTATATTTTGGTTTGTGCCATTTCAGCATTACGAAGCTTTCTCCTAAGACAAACATGAGTTTCACGCGCAGTTTTGTATATTCGCGACATAAATTGTTAAATATATACAGCTCTAGTTTAAGTACAAGTGCAATTAAATACCAAAATGTGCAACAGTCAACGGCAGCAGCCAAGCGAATTTGCATTGTGGGCGCCGGCCCAGCCGGTTTCTATGCGGCACAATATTTGCTCAAGCAGCTGAGCGACTGCACCGTGGACATCGTGGAGAAGCTGCCGGTGCCGTTCGGATTGGTGCGGTAAGCTGCATATAAACTAATCGCTAGGGGTGGTATTGCGGGCATCATCGTTGCCAAACCCAAAAAGCGGTCCAACAATAGAGCGAAAGATGCCATTGAAGTAAGCTGGAGAAGGAGCAGGAGGCAGGAAATAAATTTGGCGGCAAAGGAGCGGCAGCTGCGGCTACTTACAGCCCACCTGATCGAGACTCCATATGGGCGCGGGCGTAGCGGGCACAAGTGTTAGCTGCCAAAATAGGCACAGCACAAGCAGAGCAGCAGCCGTCCACATCTTGGGCCGATGAGTTACGAGTGCGTTCTGTGTTGCAATTGCCGTGGACGTATTTATTTAATGGCTCGCTGGCTCACACAGACACTTATCGACTAATGACTATTGCCATTATGCAAATCTCGACATTCCAGCTTTGGAGTTGCGCCCGATCATCCGGAGGTCAAGAACGTCATCAACACGTTTACGAAGACGGCGGAGCATCCGCGTTTACGTTTCTTTGGCAACGTAACGCTCGGAGTGGATGTGAGCCTGCAGGAGCTGCGGGATCGTTACCATGCCGTGCTGCTCACCTATGGCGCGGATCAGGATCGCGAGCTGCAGCTGGACAATGAGCGGCAGGCGCCGCATGTGATATCGGCGCGCAAATTTGTGGCCTGGTATAATGGTCTGCCCGGCGCCGAGCAGCTGCAGCCGGACTTGAGCGGACGCGACGTCACGATTGTGGGCCAGGGCAACGTGGCCGTCGATGTGGCTCGCATGTTGCTAAGTCCGATCGACACCCTGAAGGTATGTTTGCCTTAAAAGAGGTCTGAGCTAAACTGATCTTGGCTTTTTCTTTCCCCCACAGCTCACAGATACCACGGAGTATGCTTTGGAGGCGCTGGCGCGCAGCAAAGTGGAGCGTGTACATCTGGTGGGCCGACGTGGTCCGCTGCAGGCGGCCTTCACGATCAAAGAGCTGCGCGAGATGCTCAAATTGCCCAATGTCGAGACTTGTTGGCGTGCAGCAGACTTTACGGGTAAACTATATGAAAGCTAGCAATTCTTATTCCATCTAAACAGCAACCGTTCACAGGCATTGCCGAGCAGGTGGACAAGCTGCAGCGACCACGAAGGCGTCTCACTGAACTGATGCTCAAGAGTCTGGGCGAACAGCGCAAGCCCAGGGCTGCAGCTGTTGGCAAGCAATTCTTGCCCATCTTTCTGCGTGCTCCCAAAGCCATTGCGGCAAATGAAATGGAATTTAGCATAACTGAGCTGCAGGAGAACGAGGCAGCAGTCGCCACTGAGGCATCCGAACGGCTGCCAGCCGATTTAATTTTACGCAGCATTGGCTACAAGTCCAGTTGCGCCGATGCCGGCATCAACTTTGATCCGAAGCGTGGTCATGTGTGCAATCGGCAGGGGCGTGTGCTAAAGCCCGGCGAATCCGAGGCTGTGGAGCCTGGCCTGTATGTGGCTGGCTGGCTATGCACTGGACCCACTGGCGTCATCTTGACCACCATGAATGGCGCCTTCGCGGTGGCCGCAACTATCTGCGATGATATTGCAGCCAAAGCCGTGGACACGGCCTCAGCTAAACCTGGCTTTGAGCCGGGCAGCCGGCGTATTGTCAACTGGGAAGGCTGGCGACGCATTGACCAGCACGAAAGCGAGGCGGGCAAGGCCAAGGGCAAGCCGCGCGAGAAAATTGTTAGCACTGAGGAAATGCTGCGCATTGCTGGCGTCTGATTAAATTGGTTGAGGGATTATTGGCATTAACTAAACTCTTCATTTATAAACCCAACATGGATGCCATCTTTTAATTTGTCACTGTAAATAGATTGTATATATTTTTAAAAGCACTTCAATGTTATAGTTAAATTTTTCTAAGTACAAAGTTTTATTTCCAAATTTTCTGTATAGACTGTTGAACAAAAAAAAAAAGAAACAATATGGAAACATCCATAACACCTGAGCCACACTTGGTGCCAGGGTAAGCTTCGCATCCTTGCTAACTACCCGAGCATCTGGCTCAGCTCTCCATCCACAGTTATACGGGCCACTGTCCGGAGAATCGAGATCGCGTGGGCAAAACATATGGCAAGCAGACGCACACGCTGCTCATTGATCCCTGCAGTAATCATGCACCCGAGCTAATTGTGGCGCCCATACACGCCAAACCGGATGTCAAGGATTACCCGACCGAGAATGAGCTGAAGATCTTGAGCGATCGCGAGGAGTTTGTCGACTCCGTCTATCGCCATCCCATAATACCGGGCTATGCGGGCTTTGTGCCCAACATGTTCAAGCAGACGGGCAAACGCTATGTGGCCGCCGCCACCGCGGGCGTGGCTCAGCACGAGACGCTGATGCAGCTGTATCGCTGTGAGAATCGCACGTTGCGTCATCGTGATCTGCTCGAGAGTGGCCGCGGCTTGTTCGAGCACAAATTGAACGAGCGACTGGTGAGTAGCCCTTAGCATATGTTTGTGGGGAACCTTAAGCATGCCCTCATCCTGCAGCTGCCGCATTCGCAATATCGCGCACCCTTGATACCCGTTACGCCTGTCTGCAAGGGCATCAAGGAGGAGAAGTGCCCGCCAACGGCAGAGAAGCTGCGCTACAGTAAGTTCACTACGCCCCACTTCCTGGACGATGATGACGCGGATAAGTTCATCATCAATGGCTATGCCGCCCACATACCCATGGCTGTGACGCGCTTCGGTGAGCCCACCAAGGTGCTGACGCATAATGCGCTCTGCAGCTTCTCTGACTATATGTACAAAAGGAAGCGGGACTCGTGGTGCTGCGGCCAGGACCTGAGCACGCCCGCCATACAGTGTCCGCCAGTGGGACACTTTATTATTTATCACAACAACCATGGCATGAATCCCAGCTATGCGGGTCATGTGCCTGGACATATGTACAAATTCGGTCGGACATTTGAAAAGACCTCATATCATGCTAAGCGCTGGCTCGAAATTCACAAAGATCTCACTCTGCTGCCAGAGATTGCGAATTTAGATTACGAATACTAAAAAACAGTTCACACATAATTGTAACGTATTTTGTTAATTATCGGAATTGGCTTCAAAAATATAATACGGTTTAAAAAACCAACAAATATTGAAAACCAAAAAGTTATATTTTTGGATTTAGAGCGGTTATTGCCTGACTTGATATTTTATTCTTTATCGAATCTGGTCTCACTGGCTGCAAAAACTAATCTATCGATGTCGCGTATCGATACGACAACAACATTGCTGCTCTCGTTTCTACGTCGTTGCAGTTGATTAAAATAAGTTTTCGTTGAATTGGGATGTTTCATATGCGTGAATCGTTGTCAATGCCGTGATCAATAAGTGTTCAGTGCCTCTACTGCTTGGCAAAAATGTAAAAACTTCAGTTTTGACAGCAAAACGCGTAAAAAATTCCATGAACGCCATCCGAAAAAATCTCTTCCGAATCGAACAATTCAAACACACACATAGTGCCGCACTGTTCACACCGGAGCGCTGATATAGTACCGCAGTGAGTGCAAGTGAGCCAAGCAGTCGTGTACGGAGATAACATACATTTGTGTACCTACCTCTCTTCAAGTGGTGAGTTGAATGCCGATTATTGCACCCTGCACGCAATTGTAGCGCGAGGCATATGAGTGCATCGCCTGGTTGGCAGTAAAAATCAACATGTTTTTTGAGATTTGTATGTATAAAAACTAATTAACGCAAATTTACTTATCAGCATGCGATAAGATTGTTTGTGGAGCTTGGTTCAAAGCAAGCGACCTAATTGGGCACCGAAGCGCTCGTAGCAAGCAGGTAACAGTCGTGTCGGTGCGACCCTACCCCAACTTGTTTATTAAAAGCGAACAAACGAATAAAAATAAAAACAAAAAAATACATATGTAATTTGTTGTAGAAGGTGAGATTTACGACTGGCATGTTGAGTTTGGGAGAGCGCTCAAGAATGAGAACGTATAGAGAACTGGGAAAAACCGCCAAAATGGGTTGAGTTTGTTTTGCATCGATTTTCCGGCCGCTATAATGGATGCACATATTTACCTTTCACTAATTTCCATTGCAGAAAATTCGTATGGAAATGAGTGAAGCGACGAAGGAGGCCTCCACAAACGATGTAGCGCAGAGTGAAGAGCAGCAAGTGGATGCTGCTACTGCGGCCAGCGGCAAAGAATCCAAAGATACCACATCAGATGCAGCACCAATGGACTCGGACAATGTGCAGGCACAAAGCGAGCAATGCTCCACGGCAACCACAGTAGACATCAATACGCTGACTCCGTCGACACCATCGCAGACGCCGCCGCAAGTGCTGGCGGCTGAAGCGAGTGCAACACCGACAGCAGCGTCGAGTGGCACAGTGGCCGCAGCAGCTATACCCGAGAATATACTATCGCCGCCCAAGTCGGAAACACAAACGGATGAAACAAATACGGCCACGTCGACCTCATGCTCGCCAGCTTCGGAGGGTCAGCGGTCGCCTACGGGAGAATCGGGAGATCAGCACCAACAACAAAACCAACAGCAGAAACAGCAGCCGCAACCAGCGTTACCACCAAAAGAGGAAGCAACGCCGAAACAGGAGCTGGAGCTGGATAAGGCAACAACTGTTGTTAATGGCACCATACCAAAGTCGGGCAAACCGCTGGTAACGGCGCTCAACAAGAAACTTAACAAGTCAGCCAACACATCGCCGCGAGCGTCACGTGCGCGCAAGCCAAAAGCTTTGCCCATGTATGAGAGCGAAATCAGCGACAACAAAGTCGGCATCAAGCTGTGCATCAAGAAGTCCGATGCGGCTGCTGGGTCGTCAGAGCTGCCAGTGGGCGCTGCGCCGGCCCCAAGGCCACCAGCGCCACCGAAGCCGGCACGCAAGCGCGTTCGCAAACCGAAGCAACAACAGGACAGCGACGAGAGTGAGTATGAGCCCCGCAAGAAGAAAGGCGGAGGCGGAGGCAGCAGCAACAATGGCGAGCGTCAGAAAAGGACATCAACCAACGCCCCTGCTCAACAGACGGCAGATGCGGACAGCGAGCCCGTTGAGCAGAGTGCCTGGGGCCATAAGTTACCTGAAGAAGTGCTCTTTCGTGTAAGCCAACAGCATAGTAGATGACCACTTGACTCCATGGTAAAGCTTTTCTTGAATTCTTACAGATTTTTGAACATGTTGTCGATAAGGAGGGCTGCCTGCCCACCCTATTCCGGCTGGGGCGTGTGTGCTCGCTGTGGCGACAGGTCTCGCTTAGACCAACGCTATGGCGCACCATGGATTTGACCACCTGGATTAAGGAAAAGTACCGAACAGAACTTAAACTGAAATGGTTTGTGGACAATCGTTGCAGTGCTTGCACCGAGTTAAATGTCTGTAAGTATCCGCGCCAGCTCCTTAGCATGTTGATATTATTAAAAAAATTTCGATTTACAGCCAATTGGAAGATATCAGACATCAATTGCTTTCTGGCAAAGCTCTCCACTGGCTGTCCAAATCTGACGGGCATCACGTTATCTGGCTGGAAAGGTTTCACTTCGGATCATTTGACATATCTTGTCGATAACATGCAAAAGCTACAGCGCTTAGACTTAAGCTCAATTAATGTAAGTGAGTGAAGTACGTTTTAATACTTTGTAAATTATTGTTTTTAACGCTTTTACAGGTCGAGATGAATGCTAGCAAGAGCGCTGTTGGCGTCAACTCACTTTGCAATGCGCTCCAGACCATGGGCAGTCGCTTGACCCACCTCTACTTGGCACACAACCGTCTGGCTGGAATTCCCAACATTGTCAGCGTACTTGCGGTGCGGAAAACAATTCTTTGCTTTTACCTAAGACAGTTTTATTAATTCATGTTGCTCTTTACAGACGCATTGTCCAAATCTGACGCTCTTAGATCTCTCAAACGTAACCACACAAGCTACATCGCACGGCGTGCTGTACATCGAAAAGCTGCAGCATGGTTGCCAGAAGTTAAAGGTGCTGCGTGTCACCAACTCCCACATAACACCGAGTACGGCCAGCATGCAGGAGATTGTGAGTGCTGATGGTTGAGTTTATGGCCAAACCTTTGTTAACGCGTTTTGTCTGTTTCAGATGGACTCGCCTGGCTTTCCCAATCTCGAGGAGCTCTCTGTGGCAGCTTTGACCGATGAATCCCGCATCATAAGTGATGACCATCTACAACGTATATTAAAGAGCAGCTCCAAGTTGAAGCTACTGGATGTGCGCAATTGCACACGTCTGACGCACGAGAGCCTAATACGTTTGCCAGCCTGGGATATCAAGCATTTATTTCTCTCCGGCTGCTCGGTCACCCGTGATATGGGGTGAGTAGGCCATGCATAGAGTCCAAAACAGAATCTATATAATAATATATGTATGGTCCTTACAGATCGGGTCTGGAACTTATTGCGTCCAAATGGGCGCATAGTCTAATCGAACTGGATCTGGCCTGGGCTAACGTCCAGCAGCCCATAGACAACGCTTTGCGCGCACTGGCTGAGAAGGGCAGCGAGTCTCCATTGGCGTAAGTATATTCTAAACTATTTAATGCCGAACTGAAAATGAATTTTCTGCTTTTAAACAGCCACTTAAATCTATGCGGCTCATCAGTATCTGAGGAGGCGGTTAAGGAAATACTCACGAATTGTGTGCACATGAGCTCAATAAATCTTGCATCATGCCGCGGCTTGCCCCGTGGCGTTAAGCGCCTTATGCAGGGACCACAGGAGCTGCACGAACTGCGCGAGGTGCTCGGTGTGCAACTGAAAGTGCAGTAGAAGGAGGGACTACAAAAGGGTGCAATAATTATATTGAAAGCTGTGGCGACGGCAACAACAACTTGCAGCGAAATGAAGGTTATTGTTGATAGCCGGCAGCTTGAATGTAATTGAAATTGTTGCATTCTTTAAGATTAGGAAAAGCGTTCAGTGTTTGTGGGACTGTCCACAATAATGCAATAGTCGAAATCGCTTCGCATCTTCCAATCATGCTTATATTGTTTCTAGGCCGCACCCTTGTGTTTTGTAAATGCAATATGTATCTTATAATTTATTTGTTTCGAATTTCAACGGGGTTAATTATGCACGTTGAAACAAATCTTAAATATATACAGTGATGTTTAGATGATTTTTTTTTGTATTGCATATATTGATTAGATTGATTAGAGCGTAGTTAAGCAACTAATGACCACTGTATGTTTGTAAAGTATGTATGCATATTTAAGATTAAGTTTAAAAGTAATTTGTATGCTTTTGCAATACAAAAACAATACAAAATGATTAACAATAAATAGTAGTCGTCAATTCAATGTCGCTAAGGCAATTTGTAGAACGTTTTAACCCAGATCAAGTTTGTAAATAAGTATTTGGCGCTTAAGAAACTCTATTGAAATCTAAAATAGTAGTTAGCATACATATTGAACGATTTCACACACACACACACATATATAAAACAATTCAATTGTTAAGCATTATTAGCAGTTAAGAGAAGGCAATTAAAGGTATATTTAATTTTAAATAAAAAAAACTTTAATATTCTGAGCCAGTCTTTTGAGGAAATTCAACGAATTCCTGTGCAATTCCAAACAAGTACTACATTCATTTTACTTTGGTCACTAATTAAATTTTTATTTAAGTTGCGTACGTAAATATTTTGCACATTATTAAACTATGAGCGTATTATAATCGTGGGCATGGCTGCAACTTTACAAAAACTAGTATACAACATAAATCGCCTTTACCATTTCTGTCTCGCTTGCCTTCATTTTTTGTTTAATTTATTTCTTCAGCTTGTCAAGGTCATGAATGTAGTCCGTGCCGATTTTAACAATGGCGGCGCCTGTGCCTAAGCCGGCTAGCGTGGCGAGCAGCGAGTTGTCCTTGGGCAAAGCGGATTTGATCAGTGCCCAGGCAAGTACCGATCCCATGCTGAAGAGCGTAGCTCCAAGCAACGCATACGCTCCGCGTTTGTTATTCTTGATGTCCCTTAAGTGTGGTCGGCCGTAAATGTAGAAGGCACTGCCGACGACTGCGGAAATGAGGAACACATTCGTCAGATCCTTCTTGGGCAAAAATTTCGGCACAATCTGGGGATTCATGACGTTGACGCTAAGGGCTCCATAGCTAACGAGACCGTGCAGTGGTATGTAATAGTTGAATACGTTGTCTTTGGTCAGGGGCCTTAGACCAATTTTCTCGCAAATGGTGCAGGCGTCTTTATTCTGTGTGCTAGCCATTGTGTGAAATTTTTTTGGATGCTACAAATGCAAAAAGTGCTGCTCTCTCAAGTTATGTAAAGAACAGTGTTGTCAAGTGACGCAATTAAAGATAATTGTGCCGGTTTTACTCTGTGTCGATGGTATCAAAAAAAAAATAATTGTTTTTAGTCTGAACTCTTGTGTTAAGTTATTTCTATCTTTGTTTACATTATCTGACTAAATAAGCAACGTGTGCTAACAATAAAAAATATACATACTGCATATGTAACCATTAATAGCCGGTAGTATAAGACATGGTGGCAACTTTCCTGCAATTGCTGCAATTGCTGGGGTGTCCGAAATATTGCTAGAAAATATTATACAAATATGTATAAGCTCATTTAATTATAAGTGAATTAGTCACAATTCAAATATTTTTATTTACAATTATTACGATAGTTTCACAGACAATTTAAAATTGCTTAATTTGATGTCATAGCGCTGCCACATAGTCAAAAACAATTTAATGTATTTATATCAACAAATTTCGATAACGATTTATCGTTAAGACAAATTATCGTGCATTGGCCGAAAAGCATATAGTGTTGAGTTTTTTGCAGCTAGGATAATAAATTAATTAATGCGCGTATTTAATGTGCAGCAGTACACAACAATCACGTGAAGATAACACAAAATACACGCAACAACGACAGCTTAAGCTCGTGCCGTGTAAGACATGTTGACGCACAAAACTTGCCAGGCCAGAAAAAAAATGCAGGTGAGTTTACCCCAATAAGAAACACCGGTTTTATGGCATGGAGGTGCCGCTCGCGTAAGTAACACACGAAATTACCGGACTTTGTGGGCATGGCCATTAATTGAATTACGAGTATTCATGCTGCTTGGTATATGTTTATTTTTTTATTTTTCCTTTAATTTTTTCCAGGTTTCCTTTGTGATACGAGACGCGGAGGAGAAACAGCATCGGAATGGCGTTAACGCTCTGCAATTGGATAGCAACAATGGTAAGTTGTATTCGGCGGGTCGAGATGCCATCATACGGGTCTGGAATACACGCACGGAATCTAACGATAAGTATATACAATCTATGGAGCATCACAACGACTGGGTCAACGACATTGTGCTCTGCTGTAACGGCAGAAATTGTAAGTTCCATTCGTAAAGTTCAAGTGCTTTTAACTAGCTAATCGACATCTGTTTGCAGTGATCAGCGCCAGCTGTGATACCACTGTCAAGGTGTGGAATGCACACAAAGGCTTTTGCATGTCCACACTGCGCACGCATCGCGATTATGTGCAGGCGCTGGCATATGCCAAGGATCGGGAACAAGTGGCCAGTGCAGGCCTGGATAAGGCCATATTTCTGTGGGATGTGAATACGCTAACAGCTTTAACTGCCAGCAACAATACCGTTACAACCTCTAGTCTAACAGGCTCGAAGGACTCTATATACAGTCTGGCCATGAATCCCTCCGGAACTGTCATTGTCAGTGGGTCGACGGAGAACATATTGCGCATATGGGACCCGCGAACTTGTATGCGCAGCATGAAGCTGCGCGGCCACACAGAGAACGTACGCTGCCTCGTTGTATCGCCGGATGGCAATCAGGTTGTCTCCGGCAGCTCTGATGGCACCATCAAGGTGTGGAACTTGGGCCAACAGCGTTGCATACAGACGATACACGTCCATAAGGAGGGCGTGTGGTCGCTGCTAATGAGCGAGAATTTCCAGTACATTATATCGGGCAGCAGGGATCGAAATATAATTGTAACGGAAATGCGCAATCCCAGCAACAAGATGCTTGTATGTGAGGAGAAGGCACCAGTGCTCAGTTTGGGCTATAATATCGATAAAACAGGTGTATGGGCAACTACCTGGAATTCGGATATACGCTGCTGGAAACTGCCCATGTACGACAGATGCACGCTCAGCTCTGGGGGCATGGATGCACAGTGGACGTTGGGTGGCACGGAGCTGGCCTGCATCAAAGGAGGAGCGGCGATCAAGGAGTGCACGGTGCTTAACGATAAACGCTATATCATTACAAAAGACTCGCAGGATCAGGTTGTGGTCTATGACGTGCTACGTGTGATCAAAAAAGAAGAACTGGGCCCCGTCGACTACGAAGAGGAAGTGAAGAAGCGTAACAAACAAGTCTACATTCCAAATTGGTTTACTGTCGACTTAAAAACTGGCGTACGTTTCATTATTTACCATTGATCGTATTTAGAAACAATTTAATGAATTTATTTTTTGCTTTGCGCAGATGCCAACGATAGTCTTAGGTCAAGAGGAGGTTGATTGCTTTGCGGCTTGGGTATCCATAGAAGCCGGCCTACCTGAATGTGATGATCCGACAACAGAAATAAAGGTATGTAAGGTAGGCAAAACTAGACAAAGCATGTAATATATTATATATATTTTGCAGATAAATTATGGAAAGCTGCTGTTGGAGGCACTACTTGAGTATTGGACTCCTCCCCACAGTATGCCGCCAAATGAAATGGAGCCAGACGTGCGCGGTAATGGCTATTTTCAAGTGCCCAAACACACGCCGGTCATATTTAGGTGAGTGTAAGTGCAAGACTCTTAAACTTGTTTAACCTTCGGATCTTGGTTTATTTTGTAGTGAGGTGGGAGGACGGACCGTGTGTCGACTGCTGGTGCGCGACGCTGCGGGCGACAGTGAGAGCACACTGCTCCATGAGACGGCGCCGCAGTGGGTGACGGACGTTGTGATCGAAAGAAATATACCCAAATTCCTAAAAATACCGTTCTTCCTGCAGCCACATCCGCAAATGACCAAGCCCGAGCGCACCAAAAAGGTATGATAAATAACATCAATTGAACGAAATGTCAGCTAGATATAACTTATTGGTTTTGCGTGGACAGGATCGCCTGGTGGCCAACGAGTTTATACAGTGCCGCAAGGTATGCGAGCATGTGCTGGAGAAGGTGCTTAATGCGGAAACAACGCCCAGCGGCGGCAATGCAAACAACTCATTACAAAATAGTCAAAGCGATGCCAATTCGGAGGGATCTCAGCTGCCAGCGGAGGAGCGCATAGAGTTGTGGTGCAACGATGTGGTAAGTAAAACTAGGACACTGCACACGAATTATATTTGAAGCTAATGTGTTTTATCTATCTCAGATCGTTGATCCGAATATGGATCTGCGTACAGTGCGTCATTTTATATGGAAGCAATCGACTGATTTAACATTTCAATATAAAACAAAGCAGAACTTTAACTTTGATGGTAAATAGTGCAAATAATTTGCGAACACAACAACAACACAAAATACACACACACACACAGACACACATACAAAGTGAGATTTATGATAATTATTTCATAGTCTAATAGTTAGTTGTATTTATCCACCCAATAGGTTCAATCGGTGATAGCTTGGAGCGCGTGACTCGCAAGTATTGAGCGCGGTTCAGCTACCAGAGTATTGTGCTTTACCTAAGGCGTTGCTTTCCACAGACGCATGTGATTTCAATATTTTATGTTTGTTTGTTATTTAATGGGCTAAAATTGAACAACCACATTTGTTTTTTGTATGTATTTTTCACCTTTTTTATTCTGTCAATTCATTTAACAACATTCAATTTGGATTTGTCCAAAACACTTACACTAAATGCACGCAAATGGTTTTGTTTTAGTTTAGGAATAACGTGAGTTTTACACACATATATATATATATATATAGATCAAATATCGTGGTTTGCAGCCGTACATAACATTGAATAAAACTGTATTCACACTTTTTTATACATACCATTTGCATAAACGAACATAAATACATACAAGCACATCAAGCAAACGCCCGTCTATAAACAGTTTCATAAAGCAGCTAGAGATCGATGCAAATATATATATATATGTATGTATATATATATGTTGTATGTACGTTTGGTTACTTATTATATACATAAACATATAATTCTAAGTATTCTGTTATACGATAAAGAAAAGAAAAGAAACAATGCAATTGTAGAAAACATATAAACTCATATATGCAAGCCAATTTGTAAATAAGTGAAAATAAGAGAAAAAAAAAACTTACAAAAATCAATCAAAATCTTATTAAATTATTTGGAAATCAAGCCTGGCTTTACTTTCCTTTCCTTTCATAGTAAAAGAACACAACTTATGACTAAACACTTAATATGTATATATTTCTATATTCGTGACGATTTCGCGCCTCTCTCTCTACCGGCGAGCTCTCATGCGCCGCCTCATCTGATGCGCCTGGCTGCAGTAGGACTCGATGGTGTTGGACAAGATGAGCAACTGTTGCTTCAGTGTTACAGGTATCATGTAGCTATTGATGTACTCTCGTGGTGCATCGTAGGTACGCCTCAGCCATCTGACAATGAACCACAGGCAGTTCTCCTTCAGTGTGCGCAGCGGAAAGTGTATCAGGATTTGGGTACGCACATCACACAGCTCTTCCGGCTGTTGTGGATTTCTGGGCATGCGTATGCGCACAGGGAAAAACAAACGCTGCGACCGCACATGCATACGTTCGCCAGTATAATAATCGCGAAAGAACCAAATGTGCGTATTATACGTATTTACGGGCACTCCCTCGTTCGGCTTTAATGTTACCTGAATGTTTTCCGTGTCCGGATCGCGTACCCAGTACAAATCCACTGTGCGATTTGTTGTGTTGACAAACAGCACGTAGACTTCGACTTCTTCCTGGGGCATTGCTCGTAGGTGTTCGCCCCATTCGCGATTATTGCGTGCGATCTGCAGCGCCATATTAATGCAAGTCCTTACTCGATCATATAGCTAATCATATTTTAATAAACAATTCAAATTTAAATTTGTTTTCTTTTTTGGTGTTGTTTGCTTTTTCAATTTGCTCAAAGCGTACAAGTGTCTGTATGTATCTTCTTCTATACTTGCCATTCACAGTTTGCCCGGTGCCATTCACACAGAACTCGGACAGTTTCTAACAAGTTGGCAGCTCTGTTGCGTATTAACAGCTGATTGTCAATGTAACAGCAAATAAAAACAAAACTAGGCGACTTTTGGAACAAACAATGGCATTTTGCATTGCTGTGATTGGCAAAGACGTCAGTTATGCTTAATTTGTAATGTTTATATACCTAAAACGTGAACTGTGCTTCTTTTAGAATGCACCATTGTACTTGGCCACGTCTGATTTGGAGCGGGAGCTGGATCTGCAATATCATGTACATGCGGCACTCGACGTGGTTGAAGAAAAGTGTCTAGTGGGCAAGGGTGCGCCCGAGTCCAAGGAACTCTACTTAGGCCTGCTCTTTTCCACAGAGAATCACAAAATGTAACGGCAGCGAAGTAAAGCTCATGTCCAACTTCTATTAAAGAACATTGTTTAATTTCAGCTACGGCTTTGTCACCAACTCCCGAGTCAAGTTTATAGTTGTCATCGATTCGAGCAACATCGCCTTAAGAGAGAACGAAGTGCGTGCGGTATGTGGAAATGATTTTGGAAGCTGTGACTGCTCTTAAGATAATTATTTATTTGCATTGCAGATATTTCGTAATTTACATATGCTTTATACGGACGCTGTTTGCAATCCATTTTACATTCCGGGCGAGCAGTTGACCTCCAAGTAAATTGGCTTAATTATTAAATGATTTTCTGCTTTTATTTACAATTTTGTTTTACAGAAAATTTGATCGAGCAGTGCAAAAACTTATGAGCGGCAATGCTTAACGTTAAGATTAGGTATTTATTATATTAACTAATGCGACATATACCCCTAGAAATATATATATAAATTTGTATCTAACTTGCTAAATAAACAATATGTTAAAGAAAACTTAGCTTAAAACTGAGGCAATTGTATTGTAGATCCAGACATATCAGCATGTAGAAACCAAACCCAGTCATAACTGCGTCTATTTTTATTGAACATCCCGTAAAGGTCACAAATTGATTTATTTATGAATATGCATATGTAAATAGCTACAAATTTGTAGAAATAGAAATTCTTTCAGTAACTTGTTATCTTTGAAAGTCAAGGTCACTTTTAATTTATGCAAAACAGTTTAAAGTCTGATCCATGGGACAAATTTTCAGTGATTCGTAAGAAAAGATGTTGCAATAAAATGTTAATAAACATCATATTTAAATAAAACAAATTCACACATTAGTGCACGGTTTCAAACCAGTCGATCACGTGAGACGATGCCAAAAATGAATGCAAATTAAATGTCTTCAATGCGACTATGCTGACACACTACACACGTGGAGAAAAGCTCTAGAGTTGGCACTTTAGATAATTAGATAATAGTACACATTTTGTAATAAGTAATAATATATATTTATTTGCATCAAGCTAAGCCGAAAGAAAAGAACCATAGTATTTGGATCTAGGACATAGTTAGAATATCTGAAGGTTTAGAATACCGATCGACTAACGATTTAATTAATAATATTTATGACGCATATGCATGTTTTTTTTTAGTTGATAATTAGTATATGTCATGCATATGTATCAATTTCCGCTTGTTTTAATGCTGCTGCGAACTTGTTATGTTTATAAACCAAACGAGTATATTGAGGAGATCAATCGGCATGTATATTGCGTGGTATGGCAGAGACACACGCTCAAAAATTGTGTTTAAAAATTCATTTGTACTGAAAATAATCATATATTTACATAATTAATGATAATCAAACATTCCTAGCGCCACAGACGAAACGTATAAAAGCTTTGTCCAACCGGACAGTGGATATCAGTAAGTCTTTCAGAGTCTTTCCGCTAACAACATGAAGTTCATTGTGAGTTATCCCGCCAAAAAAAAAAAAGGAAAACCAAATCAACAAATCCTTTGTCTTCACAGATTGCCCTCGCCTGCCTGGTGACATTGGCCTACGCCAATGAAAATGCCAATGTGCTGAAGAGCGTACAGGAGGTCAACGTTGACAACTTCAAATACGCTCTTGAATTGGACAATTCAGTGAACGTAGCGCAAGAAGGTCAACTGAAGGGAGAGGAATTGATTGTGAATGGCCTACAAGCATGGACGTCTCCTGAGGGTGAACCAGTTAGTATCCAATACTTGGCTGACGCTAACGGCTACCAAGTTCTTGCTGCTAACCCCCCTCTGCCGACTCCACCTCCAATCCCAGAGGCAATCCTCAGGTCCATTGAATGGATCAAAGCTCATCCAATTGCTGAAAATCAAAACTAAATTATGATTCTTTCGTTAACAATAAAAGCATAAAAATGTAAAAAAAAAACAACAACCTGCTTAGAAACTGTTTCCTTATTTTATATTATTTATCAAATGTTTTTATTAATGCATTTTGATCATCAGCATAACGATTCAAGTATTGAAAATTTTCGAAAAATAAATTAAAAACAATAAAATATATTGTTAATATATGTAATAATGTCTTAAACCAAGCAGGAGCAGTTCTTCTGTTTGTTTATAATATATAATGCAATTTTGTAAATGGAAGGAGATATCGAATTGTTTAAAGAATATATGTATTTCAAAGCGAATGTCTCTAGCTTTTGATATTTTCGAATTTCGAGTTCACACAGAAATCGTCCAGAATAATATATACCCTTTATGGCATTGATGCAAGGTGCCAATTACTCGGTATCTTTTAGTCAACCATTTGTTTCTATTGTTGATCATAGATGCGACACTTGTCTAATTATAATTCACTTTTAAAAATAATAGATAAATTATCTCGATGTCTTGTTGTTTTTTTTATTTTGTTTATTTCGGGGATGCAGAATTAATTTGTCCCCAAGCAATATGATAATGATCATTTTAAGCATATGCAATTGTATATATGTATATACCATATTTCTTAGATTATTTGATTTCCGTTTTGTTTGCCAAAGCCGGAGAGCCAGAAAACAAGTTATTCACAAAATATTGCGTCGCATATGCAAATGAGGGTCAAATTTGACACGCACAAGTCGAAGAAACTCATATGCATACCATAGCTGGTCGGCAGTTAGACAGACTGACAGACAGACGGACTGACAGACTGACAGACGGACTGACAGACGGACGTATGTGCTAATTGGGCAAAAAATTTAACTGCGGCACGTTGAAGATTGAATACCCTTGGCTTGCGGCCATTGAGTAATAAATATTTATTATATATAATATTATATATTTATTTATACATTTATTTATAATATAATATTATATATTTATTTATTATATATTTATTACTCAATATACAACGTACACAGAAAAAATTTAATTATTGCCCAAAAGCGGGCAGATCTTAAATTAAAATAATAATTATGCAAAAAATATATATTCATATATATATATTTATTACTCAATAACTCAATGGCTGGCGACTTTTCAGATATGTGAGAACGTTTGTTTGAAACATCTTGGAAAATAAGTTGATCATAGTTGTTCATAGAAGAGCCTACTTTTTCGTTCATATGGCAGCTATGATCTGATATAGTGCTACGATCCGGTTCAATCTATACTGCCTGCAACAGAAGGGAACCATATAAATGTGTGTTATTTTTGATAAAATATCCACAAATTATCTAAAAAAAAAAAGAGTCTAGTTCGCATAGAAGAAGACAGCTGGACAGCAGGACATAGCCTATATCAACTCGGCTTTTGATGCTGATCTAGATGAAGTTCTATGCGTTACATATTTGATGACAAAATTATGTTACCCCTCTCAACAAGTGTATACATTTATGGGATATTTGGTTTCAGTGCCAAACGTTCATTAAATTCATATAAAATATTTGCTTTGATCAGTTCTGCCGAAAATGTCGTCTCACTTTTGATTTCGTTTTATATTTGGGTTCTCGATCTGTGACCTTGTGCTTGAATATATTCTTAATAGAAATGTCTAGCCGCAATTAAAGACTATTTACTATGCTTTCTGTTTGTCTTCTCTTTTAGCTCTCTTAAATATAATAGAAGTAAAAGTAATCTGTTTGCGTGGTTGAAAAGTAGGCAACAGTTTTGCAGGCACTGCTCGAAAATATGGAACTTTAGTTTATCTAATATCTTAATATTAATAACTTTAATAAAAAGTCAATTGGTTTGTTGTTTGAGCTGTAAATTTGATAGCCCTTGAGAACGTTCTCAGTTAAGATTAAAGTAGTTGGATGATTTAGCATTTGCCGCCGACTGGCAAAGTGAATGCCATCAATTAGCTGGCCAAGAGAAGAGGAGCCCCCGCAGCCCCCGCAGCCCCCGCAGCCCCTTCTGGCAGTTGCTGTAAAAGTGATCTGAGCGACGATCAAGGTAATAACAACTCGAAGCTCGAAGTCGTCAAATGTCAAAAGCAACAAACAACTCTTGTTCTGGTTTTCCAAAACACATAGCAGCTAATTGCATCAGAGACTCAACGTGCAAAATATTGACAGAGTGTAAGCGAAAACTAATTTTCCATCAGATGCAGAGAGCAGCCGAGATGCCAAGACGACGAGACGACGAGACGACGAGACGACGAGATGCCAAGACGTCAACATATGCCAAAGCAGATGTCGACGCTGTCCATCAAGAGAGCGCTCAGCTGTGAATCTGACCATGGAGGACGTACCAATAAAACAATTTAATAATATAACATAATAATATAATATAATAGTATGATAATAAAGTAATAATAAAACAATATAAGTACATTAAATTGCAATTATTTCAAAAGCAAGCAATCAGACTAAAGTAACCATGGAGGACATCTGCAAATATATATGCAAAAAAAAAATATTAAGAATCTTGAAGAGACTTGATAAAACCTGCTCAGCTGTGAAAAACTTGAATATACTTAGCTTAAATCTAACCATGGAGGACGTTCTAATAAGACAATATAATATTATAATATTATATAATAATATTAGTAATACAATATAAATCCATTAAATTCAGAGTAAAGTAACCATGGAGGACATCTTTAAATAAGCATGCAAAAAAAAAAGACTTGATAAAACCTGCTCAGCTCTGAAAAACTTGAATATACTTGGCTTAAATCTGAATCAATAAACTGACCATGGAGGACGCACCAATAAAACAACAAAACGACATTCACTTCATAAATCTACATGTACATTAAATTGCAATTATTCCAAAAGCAAGCAATCTGAGTAATGTAACCATGGAGGACATCTGCAAATAAACATGCAAAAGATTATGTAGAATCTTGAAGGCAATTTCTTTTTCTAGCTGAGTTATTTGGAGCAATATTTTCGCCACACATTTAAAACAAATAAAACAAATGGTCAATATGTCAAAATGACGTCAAAATTATTGTCAGCTTTCTCTGGGGGAAGGCTATCATAATTCATAAACAAGTTGTTCCATTTGCTTTTCCAAATTTTCCTAAATATATAGGCAAATATATACATAAATATATATATATATACATATATATATACAGAAAACATAGAATATTTAAATGCCAGATATAAATCAATTAAGATCCATTTACGTTTGCCATAAAACAAAACAGGCATTAATAATACTTATTGCCGTTTAGAATTTAAATTTAAACGAGGAAACGCGTCGCAAAAAGACAAGAATTTTTCGAATCGCTTATAAAATTGTCTTCGGATCCCGCCCCACCCCACCCCCTTCCCCTACCTCTTTTTGGAGGTGTGTGGGCGGATCGCTGGCGAAAATTTCTATGTGTTGTTGTGGTTTTTGTGTGAAACCAATTAATTAATACGTTTAGTTATTTGATGATTCGATGAAATCAACGTGCTTATAAATTTGTGTGTGTGTGTGTGTGTGTGTGTGTCGCCTCAGTGTTTGGTTCTCACAGTAAATCAAAGTGTGAAATGCCAATTGTGCCTGTAATTCAATTCAAATCGCGTGCCATATATAATATGCACTGTAAGAAATTAAGTTGTACTTATGAATATCAAAATGATTCAAACATTCATTATGCTATACCGATTATATATTCATTTGACATATAACATAAGATCTAAATTGAATGACTGTGAAAAAGTGCTGCCCATTTTGTCAAACACTTGTATGCAGTATTTAATTTAAATTGTTATAAAAATGTATCACGTCAACTTCGACATCATTATCAACGTAAATATTCCGCATTCCTAAACGATTCAAATAAAATGTAACGCCTGTGAAAAAGTGCTGCCCATTTTGTCAGGCTCTTTAGCAGAGAGTATTTAGTATTCTGTAATTAATTTAAATTGAAATTACAATTTATCACATCAATTCGACATCTTTATACAAAAACGTAAATGTTTTGCATTCCTAAACGATTCAAATAAAATGAAACGCCTGTGAAAAAGTGCTGCCCATTTTGTCAGGCTCTTTAGCAGAGAGTATAAAGTATTCTGTAATTAATTTAAATTGAAATTACAATTTATCACATCAACTTCGACATCATTATTTAAAAACGTAAATGTTTCGCATTCCTATATTCACGATTATATATTCATTTAACAAATAACATAGAAACGATTCAAATAAAATGTAACACCTGTGAAAAAGTGCTGCCCATTTTGCCAAACACGTTGAGAAACTGTATGTATTTAGTCAGTTCAGTATATAATTTAAATTGTAAATAAACTAACTCGGGTCAACTCTTTATTTTTATCCAAAAACCTAAATGTTTTGCTTCGCACTGTCCGTTTTCTTGCAGTGTAGTGTATATAAATATAATAATTGTTCTCCACGTTAAGCTTAGCAAACCACTACAAAAAAATATTACTCTTGCTGGTGAGATCTGTTGGCCAGCAGCAAAAGTAAACACCGCCAAATGCTCAATGACTTTACAGTGCTTTTCGAAAATGAAATTAAAATTTGAAAAATGCCCCCATGCGAGTGTGTGCGAGTGTGTGTGTGTGTGAGTGTGTGTTGCCTTTTGTTGTTGTGTTCTGCGTACTTTTATTTTCGAAATGCTGTTGAAAACCATAAATTAGCTTGTTACTTTTGGAATGCAGCGTTCAGTGACGTGAATGTGTGTGAGTGTGTGTGTGTGTGTGTGTGTGAGTGTGAGTGTGTGTGTGCTTAGTGCTTGGAGCACATGAAGAAATAAGGAACTAATTCATTTTGGGCTCACAGTCGTTAGCGGTGATCTTTTGTGTGAAGAACCAAGGCAGAGCACAAAAACTCAAAAATGGAAAACATCGTGAGTTTTGGGGAGAGAAGGGGATTTGTTTTGGGATCAATTGTAAGCTTATTGGTTATGTAATCGGATTAACAGGATGAGGATCTGACACCCGAGCAAATTGCGGTGCTGCAAAAGGCTTTCAACAGCTTTGATCACCAAAAGACTGGCAGCATACCCACAGAAATGGTCGCCGATATACTTCGTCTGATGGGTCAGCCCTTCGACAAGAAGATCCTGGAGGAGCTGATCGACGAGGTCGACGAGGACAGTGAGTGCCGATCGACACAAACATACCCTACAAACTATACATAATCATAATTTGTGCCTAGAATCTGGTCGTCTGGAGTTCGAGGAGTTTGTGCAGCTGGCCGCCAAGTTCATTGTGGAGGAGGATGACGAGGCCATGCAGAAGGAGCTGCGCGAGGCGTTCCGTCTCTACGATAAGCAGGGCAATGGCTACATTCCGACCTCCTGCCTGCGCGAGATCCTGCGCGAACTGGACGACCAGCTGACCAACGAGGAGCTGGACATCATGATCGAGGAAATCGATTCCGATGGCTCCGGCACCGTCGACTTCGATGGTAAGCATTCTCCGTACCAACTGTCAAAATACTGTGCCACACTTTGGCTCCATGCCAGCAAAACAAATGCTGGCCATGGCGACACCTCCCCCTTTCCCCCTCTCTCCCCTGCCTCTCCATTAAGTTGTGCCTGCCCTTGTGTGCCGTCTATTTATAGTTGTGTGTATATCTAGATACTTGTATCTTTATCTAATGCCAAGCACTTTGAAATTCTTTCCTTTACAGAATTCATGGAAATGATGACGGGCGAATAAGCACACAGATTTCAAGCCAAACAACAAATAAACATTTTTTATCCAAAAAGCACAAGGGTTTAAATAAAATACACACACACACACATCTCTCAATATGTAAAACTATTTGTGCGGATTGACTGACTGACTGATTGATTGATTGATGATCAACGCATAGATCAAGACGTAAGAGCTGAAAAATATAATTTTCTTACTGTGGTTATCTTTTGTGTTGTAAGTAAAAACTCAGGCTGGGTTTTGGAAAATTTGGAAAATGTTTACAAAACCTTTGCAAAAAGATATCAAGTTTAATCTGTGTCTATTTTACCAGAGCCTACAAACCAGGTTTTGTGTATTAAACTCTGAACATTTCTCAAAATCGATATTTATCGATATATGAAAAAGGGGCGCATTAAAATAATAAGCATTGTTCCAGGTAACATATTGGCGAACATATATATCACATGCCCAGCTTCTTCGGCAAATTAGAAAGGGATGAGTCCGGGCAAAGCCGGTTAATGCCTGACCAATTCGTTGTAATACAACTGAAAGCTGAACTGTTTTTTATGTTTGAGCCAAGTACAGGCACAGCTGGCTGCTTGGGCCAACGATGAGCTCTAACAATTGCGCTAAAATTAATCAATTCTCAAACAGGAACTATTTAAGCTAACGGAAAACCCAGCACACAGACTAAACACAGGTACGCAGCATGCGGCAAACACTTGCCTCACACTTGGAATATTGCATCAGAGTCGAGCCCTGAGTCATGGGGTTAATTAAGGTCCGCAAGCAGCAATTATAGAACTCTTTGAAATCTGATTGATCAGTTTATACGTTTTGCATTTTGAATGCAACTCATTTGTGTGCTAATTTGTGTGTGTTAATTTGGCAAGGCCAATGCGGCGTATGATTAATATCAGCGCACACATATATGTATATATCACGTATACGCACCGTTTCATTGTCTCGCACTGCGTGCAAATTCCTTTGCCACTTGGCTGACCCTCTCGCTTTAGCTGGCTGCAAGACATCTGTTGGCCAAAAGCTAAAAAAAATACAATTTTGTCATTTTATACCCTTGCAGTCGGGGTCCTATGAATTGCCCATCAAATATGCTCGTCTGCAGAGAGAACTATATGATAAAGTAAAACCAAACAAAGTTCAGTTTATTTATGATCAAATTGTTTGTTAGTTATTCAAGCTAGTTAAATCAAAGGGTATCTAATCTTCGGCATAGATATATATGTTCTTTCTATTGAATGGATTCGTGATTTTCGTCAGTCTAAACTGAGTCGGACCACTTTATCATATAGGAATAATCTATTGTTTAGTTTATGGTTTGTTATTCAAACTAGTTAAATCGAAGGGTATCTAGTCTTCGGCAGACTCTTGTTCTTTTCTGCTGTACGTGTTTTTTGTGGCTGCTCTCGTGCATCTCACAGTTTGTTGACTCAATAATTGAATTGCAGCCAGAACAAATAAATTGGCCAAATGCATGTGGATGCAGCTTGTTGCATTGCTTGGGCGTGAATGAGCACAGAACGCAGTAACAAAGCTGCCCACAATGGGCATGCACGACCGACAGATGCCCTGTAAAAGGGTGAAGTATGCGAAATGCAGAAATAGTTAGCACAATTTATGTGTTCGCTTTGATGCTAGTATATATATGTATGTATATATTGACTGCCAGCTGATATACCCCACTTGTTGTCACTCGACTGGGTTGGGTATGCATTGTTGCCATATGACAAAAGTTGCACACACAAGAAACAAGATGATGTTGACAACATGCAGCAAATGCTCGTCTTCAATTGTTGCTGCTTTGGCTGCCAAGTTTGCTGCCTTTCTAAATCACAACACAACAACAACAACAACAACAGCAACAAATAACAATTCTTCAAATGTCAATGTGCATTCCCTAAGTCGGCTACGCTTAGTTATAGATACATTTATATCTATACATATATATACATGGATTTGTTTGAATGTTGCTTGCATGTTTTTTTGGCTGCTTGTTGCCCATATTAAAAACGAAATGACAAAATTGTGGCCAAAAACTAAACGAAATTCACGAGCAACTGCCCTTTGCTGCGGCTGCTGCTATGTTGTTATACCCTGTACCCACTGGTAAGAGAGGGTCTAATGTTTGCTTGCGAATGTATGCAACAGGCAGAAGGATGCAGCTCCATAAGCCTATAAAGTATATAAATTCTCATTGAAGATCCGTCTGACGATTCGTCCGTCCGTAAGCATGAACTTTCTGAAAAAATACAAATATTAGAGACTTTGACATAGTTCTTATAAGTATATATTTATTATAATATATATAATAATTTGAAATATATATTCTCATATTTATTTATTTATTTATATATATATTTATTCTTTTATCTCTTATCATGGAGTTAAAACTAAATGTTGAGTGAATATCAGTATTGGCTGCCAGGACCTTGAGCTGGACAAATAGTAGGAACTTAAATGTTCGTATATTATTTTCAGACTTAGGCCTTAGGTATTCCCTTCCATTCCCTCGAAAATTGAAAACCAATTCATTTTGAAAGATAAGGCCTTTGGTTCTTTAGCTCTGTTGTATTTATACATCAAATCTGGATGCCATAGCTATATGTTAAACTTTTTACAAAGATCTGATTATAAGCACCAAACTTTTTCAAGAACATATTTCTCATAGTGTGGGGCTAAGAGAAGAAGCACAGCTTGGGAGCTTGTGTTTGCTTTTATGGATACAGTTGAAATATTTGAGACGACATCTCGAAGCTGGTTACAGGGTATTTCCTACAGGGTATTTCCAAAGTTACTCAAGAACATATTTCTCCTAGTGTGGGGCTAAGAGAAGAAGCATATAGGACACAGAGACGCCATATCGAAGCTGGTTACAGGGTATTTCCTACAGGGTATTTCCAAAGTTAATCAGAAATATATTTCTCCTAGTGTGGGGCTAAGAGAAGAAGCATATAGGGCACAGTTTACCAGCTTATGTTTGCTTTTATGGATGTAGTTGGAATATTTGAGACGGCATTTCGCAGCTGGTTACAGGGTATTTACAACTTGTTATGACTCGCTGTTGTTGCTGTTGTTGTTGGGGTCAATTTAATTTGGCAATTTTTTGTTGGCCGGCTGCAAAGATGCCCTGAGGCTGCCAATTGTTGGGTGTTGCTGTCGATATTAATGCTATTTATGACCACTGTCAGAGCTGAGGAAAAGGTCAAACTCTGAACGGATTGCTAAATTTTCTGCTGTATTTTAAAAGAGAATTTCATCGCCTCAAAGGGTCAGTTTGTAGATTTATTGACATCCGTCTCATAATGAAGCTGCAAAGTTGTGTTCGCATGCAAAACGAGCTAACGATTGCAAATGGGCTGCAATTGGGAATGGAATGAGCTGGGATGGGATGGGATGGGATGGGATGGGATGGGTTGAGAACGCCGGAGCTGGCGTTCAGCTTCGATTGGGCTACAATTTACGAGCGCAAAAAGCTAACAACTGGTAGCTGGCCAACTGGTTAAGTGAAGATGCTCCGGGAGAGACCGAAGAGTGCAGAGAGGGGCGAGGGGAGAGCGGAGTTGTTGCATTGAGCAAACGCCAAGACAATGGCCAGAGCCAGAGCCGGAGCTAGAGCAAGAGCCAGAGACGAGATGTTGCTGTCGTGTCTGTCTCCCTTTTGGCATGCAATTGTTTTTGCCAGCAGCAACAACAACAACGACGACAATAAATGCCATAAAGTATCAAAATCTCAGCGCCGCTCAGCCTCAGCTTCAGCTTCGGCTGCGTTCATTCCATTCCATTCGATTGCATTTGGCGCCAAGCGCCGCTGCATTTGTATAAAAGCCGGAGAACCTGCGCTCCACTCGGCACACAAGTTCCAATAGTGACAATAGACGCGGCCACAACACCGCGACAATCGCGACAGTTGACAATTCACCCGCCAAGCAAACTAGAAGCCATCAAACCAGGATTTCCATAGATGAGACACATTCTCTAAATATTGTGTGTGCGTGTGTGTACGTGTGTGTGCGTGTGCTCGAGTGTGCTCAAGCCAGGATAAGACTTTAGTGTGTTTCTAGGTTTCTTCTGCTGAAACCGCAGACGGGATGCAGCTGCAATTGGTGAGTTATCGGAAAGGATTGTCAACGATTTTAATATAAATAAAAAACAAGAGTGCTTCAGTCGAGAGTGCCTGACTAGGAGATACCCTAGAGCCTACCTAAACAGAAACACACACAAAAATAGGAGAACCTCTTACCAAAAATGTTGCATATAGCTCCTATAATATTCGATCGAATCTAGAAACCATCCGAAATCGTTATTTTAAAAAGAACGGAGTCGAGAGTGGCTGACTAAGAGATACCCTAGACCCGCCCCCACACAGAATAATAGACAATAAAAAATAAGAGAACGTCTTACCAAAAATATTGCATATAGCTCCTCCTCCTACAATCTTCGAGTTATGCTCAAAAACCCATCTCAAATCGGTATTTTGAAAAGAAAGGATAAATCAATTTTAATTTAAATATAATACAGGAGTGCTTCAGTCGAGAGTGCCTGACTAGGATATACCCTACACCCTAACCATAAAGTTAAGCACACAACAAAACGAGAACCTCGTACCAAGAATGGCGCTTCTAGCCCGTATAAGATTCTAGTTATCTTTGAAAAACCATCTCAAATCGTTATTTTAAAAGAAAGGAGAAATTGATAAATATAATATACTCGTTCTGCATATGGTATACGAGATTATGTACTTCAAATTCCAAGTCTATGTCCTGAGTAGATCCTAAGGTTGACCCTCTCACACAGATAGACATGACATAGACTAAAACCACTTTGCACATAACCAATATACCCCTTTTGACTTTGCGAACAGGGTATGTAAGGCATGTAAGCTACAAGATTGACAGGTTGCGCGTAACATGTTTGTTCTGTCAGAAAATATTACGTCATACGCTGAAGTTCCTATTCAACTTGATTTGATAGACATTTTTGCAGCACTATGTAACATGCAAGATAAAGTTAAAGATGCCCAGTTTAGACCTGTTTTCCAAGTTATCTTAAGGGTCTGGATCAGATTAAGTAGGGTTATGCCAGGGATTATTTTAAATCCGAAATGGGATCAGGCAGCCAGAATGTCTTTTGTGCGCATGGGAAATATTATCAAAATTAAAAGCGTAACAGATCGAAGGATAAAGGCTGATTTATTAATTAATTTATTTTATAATTATATATATATATATATATCATAATTGATTGTATATTAAAATAGATTACATATTATAAATATGTCAAGCCTAAGCCCATCCACAGATTAAAAGTATATGGCATGCCTTGAGCTAGTTAAAGTAAGCTAAAGTTAGATAAGTTGAAAGTAAGTTTAGGTTAAATCTCGACCCGGACATCCAGATGTCCCTGGTATTAACTGTGCAGCTTCTAGGTTTCATTTAAGCCATTTTTATTCGCATTCATTTATGTTAATCCAACTTTGCAACTAATTAAAGAAATATCAATTCTAGTTGCATGTGAATTTGCGATTCGCTCATTTGAAATTCTCAGAATACGTTTGCTGTGCGAATTTGCGAATTTCGACAGATCCCCCCTTGAATATTATTGCCCAATTGGGCGCAGATGCCGCCGCGCATTATTTCCGTTCTTTGCCACCAAGTTGCCAAGTTGCTGCAACATGTTGTCTGGCACGCCAGCAACAGCTGCAACTGCAACTGCAACAGCAACAACTGCAGCAACAGCAAAGATTTAAGCGGAACGCATAAATTAAAACCCTATTAAAAAATCAGCTTGAAAAATCAGCGTCTGCCAGTTCATTGATGAAAAATCTGCACAGCACGCAAAGTTGCCCAAGAGCAACCAACAGCAGCAGCAGCAGCAGCAGCAGCAGCCCATCGTGCACGCCCCCGCCCCAGGTGCACGCCCCCCCTCGCCCCCCCTCCACCCATCCAAGCAGATCAACATCTTTAAGATTTATGCAGCGACGACCCAATTGTCAGGCCATTGGAAATTGCTTCAATTATTTAGCCCAAGCCTAGACAGAGGCTGAGGATCGGCTGAGGATGGCTATTGTATTACACACAGTTCAAAGATCTGGTCACGAACTGGTCGGGGGAGAGAGGGGAGGTGGGGGGCTGCAGGAGGACACACACAAAACTAAATGTCAAATTTGTGAGTTGTGGCAACAATTGTTGCTGCTGCTGCTGCTGCCTGTTGCAGCCTGATCGAGGCTGTGTCTATAAAGCTGTGTCAGTTCGCTGGCCAATTAAGCTAAACGCTTTAAACTTCAACTTGACACTTGGCTGAGTCAGTTTGGTAGCTTGCCTCATGCCTCATGCCGCATGCCTCACTTCAACTTGCCACTTGCCACAAATGCTTGCTTAACCTTCTGCGTGCTGCTGCTTCTGCGGAGATTCACACGCTGCCAGCAATTGTTGCAGCAACTGTTGCAACTGTTGCCAGCCAAATATCAAATATCAGAGTTCATTAATCCTCCCCCCCCCCTTCCCCCCTTCCCCACAATTGATTCCCCTGTCGATTGGTTTAATAGTTGTCTTTAGCTTTAAGAGCCACAATAAACGCGTTAATACTTAGCAACAAATGCAAAACGTGATCGCATTGTTAAAATGCCAAAGTTTTTTCATAAATAATTTTTCTGTTGATTTTCCAACTATTTCATTCATGAGGCGTCTGCCAGCTACCTGCTGCCTGCTGCCTGCTGCTGCTGCTGCTGTCATCTGCCATGCCAGCTGTCAGTTAACGATCCATGAACGGGTGAATCACTCGTTGTTTACCCCAAAGAACGGGCCACAGCGTGTGTCTCTCTATATAGTTGTAGTTGGATGTAGTTTTCATTGTCTATGCCTGCGTCTTGACATTAAACGTGCCTTTGCTGCTCTGTTAGGTATTTAACATTAAGTTATCAGCAGGCCAAAGTTGATTGTAAATGTTGTAATTATATTCAACAGATACTGCATCATTGCAAATTCGTAGGTTGGTTATCAGGAGGGTAAGCGTGGTTGTATATCGTGTCACTTTGCTGCTCTATTTAACATGAAGTTATCGGGAGGTTAAGGTTGACGGAAATAGGTTCAGGTTATTTTGATTACTTAACATGCAGTTAGCAGGAGGCTAAACTTGATTGTAAATCATAGTTTTTCTTGCAGCTCTATTTAGCATGAAGTTATCAGGAGGCTAAGATTGATTGTCATCCTTTCAATTGTACTATATATTGATATCCGTTTAATCTCCCCGCTTAGAAAGCTCTCGGATAGCGCATTTAGAAAAGTATCTTAAAGTAATTAGAACATATACTAACTATAAATCTTGGGCAGACATCTGACCTTTATGGAAATTAGTTTTACACACCTTCTCCTGCTTAAGATTCCTCCTTCACCCGAGATGTAGATTCGCTCATGCAGCATGTTTGCTTGCTTGGGGCCCAGACGTCGCCCACAACTTGGGCAAAACGTGCATCATGATGGCATATGGGTTTTGTGCTGCGGGCTGTCAGACGCTCCAGTGAAACCTTGCCATGCACCGCTGACCTGGTGGCCGCATCGCTGGGCCGCCGACAGCTCTGTATAAATTAGTAATGTCAGTTGCGCGCTTTGCTAATCTCCCATCTCTCTCTCTCCGGCAGACTCTGCTGACGTCTCTGCTGACGACTCTGCTGACGCTGATGCTGACGCAGGCGGCGCGGCTGGATAACAAATACCTGCCACCGCCAGCGAATGCTGCCAGTGCGGGCGGCGGAGCTGGCACGGGTCTTCAGGGTCCGGGCGGTGGTGGCGGCGGCTTTGGAGGCGCCAACAATGGTCTGGGCGGCATTAATAATGGACTCGGCGGCATTAATAATGGACTCGGCGGCATTAATAATGGACTCGGCGGATTCTCGGGCGGAGGCGGGCCCAGCAGGCCAATTGGCGCAGCTCCTCCGGCCCCGCCACGCGCACCCAGCGCTCCGGCGCCGCCTGCAGGCGGACCACCAATACCCATTTTGTCGTTTGTGAACGAGAACGATGGCGATGGCAACTATCGCTTCAGCTACGAGACGGGCAACGGCATCAAGGCGCAGGAGGAGGGCACCGTGAAGAACAAGGGCTCCGAGAACGAGATACCCTCGGTGATGGGCTCCTACACCTACACCAATCCGGAGGGTGAGCTTGTCGAGATCTCCTACACGGCAGATGAAAACGGTTTTGTGCCATCGGGAGCGGCCCTCCCCACACCCCCGCCCATTCCGGAAGCCATAGCCAAGGCACTGGCAGCCCAGGGCATATCTCCCCTTCCAGGCGGTGGCTACAGCGGAGGAGCTGGTGAGTTTCTATTGTTGACCGTTTCCTTAAGTCTGTGGCTTTAAACTCACCTCTCTGTTGGCGCAGGTGGTGGTGGTGGTGGTGCTGGAGCCGGCGGCGGAAGCGGAGCTGGGGCGGGAGCAGGTGGATTTGGGGGCGGCGGCCGAGGTGGTGCTCCAGGCGGAGGTGGTGCGGGAGCATATGGCGGAGCCGGCGGCGGCGCTGGAGCCGGCGGGTATGGAGGAGGTGCTGGTGGAGGCGGAGCTGGCGGATACGGTGGAGGTGCAGGTGGTGCTGGAGCCGGCGGATTTGGAGGCGGCGCAGGTGGTGCTGGTGCAGGAGGATTCGGCGGAGGCGCCGGTCGTGGTGGCGCACCAGGCGCAGGTGGTGCTGGCGGAGCAGGTGGAGCCGGAGGATTCGGTGGCGGTGCTGGCCGAGGAGGTGCACCTGGCGGCAGTGGTGCTCCCGGCTTCGGTGGTGGCCCAGGTGGTGCTGGAGCTGGAGGATTTGGTGGCGGTGCCGGTCGGGGAGGAGGCGCAGGAGGTGGTGCTGGCGGTGGTGCTGGAGCTGGAGGCTTCGGTGGAGGCGCAGGTGGTGCTGGTGCTGGAGGATTCGGTGGCGGCGCCGGTCGTGGAGGAGGCGCTGGAGGTGGTGCTGGAGGTGGTGCGGGAGGAGGAGCTGGAGCTGGAGGCTACGGTGGAGGCGCAGGTGCTGGCGGAGCTGGTGGATTCGGAGGCGGTGCTGGTCGTGGTGGTGCTGGAGGTGGCGCTGGAGGCGCAGGTGCTGGTGGATTTGGTGGTGGCGCTGGCCGTGGAGGCGCACCAGGAGGTGGCGGTGCTCCAGGCTTTGGTGGTGGAGCAGGTGGTGCTGGTGCTGGAGGATTTGGTGGCGGCGCTGGTCGTGGAGGTGCTGGAGGTGGCGCTGGAGGTGGTGCGGGAGGAGGTGCTGGAGCTGGAGGCTACGGTGGAGGCGCAGGTGGAGCAGGCGGAGCTGGTCGTGGAGGCGCACCAGGAGGAGGTGGCGCTCCAGGCTTTGGTGGTGGCGCAGGTGCTGGCGGAGCTGGTGGATTCGGAGGCGGCGCTGGTCGTGGAGGTGCTGCAGGTGGTGCTGGAGGTGGCGCTGGAGGAGGCGCTGGAGGTGGCGCTGGAGCTGGAGGTTACGGTGGAGGCGCAGGTGCTGGCGGAGCTGGTGGATTCGGAGGCGGCGCTGGTCGTGGTGGCGCACCAGGAGGTGGCGGTGCTCCCGGATTTGGTGGTGCTGCGGGCGGAGCCGGAGGTGGCGCTGGACGTGGTGGTACACCAGGCGGACCAGGCGCACCCGGTTTCGGTGGTGCTGGTGGAGCAGGTGGCGTTGGAGGATTCGGTGGTGGCGGGGGTCGTGGCGGTGCACCTGGCGGAGGTGGTGCTCCCGGATTCGGTGGTGGCGCTGGAGCCGGAGGCTTCGGAGGCGGTGCCGGCCGAGGTGGTGCGCCAGGAGCTGGTGGCGCAGGAAGAGGTGGCGGCGGCGGAGGCGGAGCTGGCGGCCCTGGCGCGCAATACGTTCCTCCTGGTGCTGCTGGTGGTGGACGTGGCAACGGCGAGTTCGATCCACAAACCGGCTACAGCTATTAGATCGCTTTAGATCGACGGACGAAACCTCAATGCAACGCATCTGCCGCTAATTACCCTTAGTTCTTTGCTCCTAAGAGCACAAGAGAGTTCTCCGATGTCCGACGGTATTATTCTTAAAATCTGTATAAGTTTCCTGTCTTTCAAAATTAAGAATTAGTTCATAAGCTGACAAGAGATAAAAGATATTTAAGGTGTATTTCGAATGATTCCAGAATGTTTCCATTGTTAGAAGCTGCTCACTTGTTGCAAACGATTTCTAGAATAATAAATTAAATGCAAGAAATTGAAGATCTGTTTATAGGCTTTATTTGTTCGAGTTCCACGATTCGGATTTTCAAAAAATTCCAAATTGCTCCATTGTGCAAGTAGAGCGTTCTGTTGTTGGGAAGTTGTAACTTTCTTTAATTTCTACGCCCAAGGGTATGCAATTTGTTTTGTCAACTATGCTTCGAGACGCCTCGCAAAAGGGACATTCCGCCCCGAAAGCATGTAACAAATAACCATGCACAAAATTAACTCACGCTTTTTTCGAAAAATGACTTTTTTCTGAAATCAAAAAATTCTATTCTATTCTATGGACCTCCACGAGTTCAACGCGCCCAATCTGCCCGTTATCGGGCTTTATTTGGCCGAGATATGGCCATTTAAAATTTCCCAAAAAGATTCGTGTGGTTGTGCACTTGGAAGTAAAGCAAACAAAGCATGGCATACTTTTGGTCCGCTCATAAAAATTACCATTCACAATATACGCATAGACTAACATTTTGTAAAGTGTTTATAATGAAATATCTCGGCTAAATACAGTCCAATTGCGGAGAGATATACCTCATTCTACTCGTACGGATGCCGACTATCGATTGCCATCCAAAAATCCGCATTCTAAGAGATGACCCAAAATCATCAAAAATACAGTGTAACCATCACGTTTTTTTCGAAAAATGACATTTTTCTGATATCAAAAAACGTTGATGCCATTCTATTCTATGGACCTCCACGAGTTCAACGCGCCCAATCTGCCCGTTATCGGGCTTTATTTGGCCGAGATATGGCCATTTAAAATTTCCCAAAAAGATTCGTGTGGTTGTGCACTTGGAAGTAAAGCAAACAAAGCATGGCATACTTTTGGTCCGCTCATAAAAATTACCATTCACAATATACGCATAGACTAACATTTTGTAAAGTGTTTATAATGAAATATCTCGGCTAAATACAGTCCAATTGCGGAGAGATATACCTCATTCTACTCGTACGGATGCCGACTATCGATTGCCATCCAAAAATCCGCATTCTAAGAGATGACCCAAAATCATCAAAAATACAGTGTAACCATCACGTTTTTTTCGAAAAATGACATTTTTCTGATATCAAAAAACGTTGATGCCATTCTATTCTATGGACCTCCACGAGTTCAACGCGCCCAATCTGCCCGTTATCGGGCTTTATTTGGCCGAGATATGGCCATTTAAAATTTCCCAAAAAGATTCGTGTGGTTGTGCACTTGGAAGTAAAGCAAACAAAGCATGGCATACTTTTGGTCCGCTCATAAAAATTACCATTCACAATATACGCATAGACTAACATTTTGTAAAGTGTTTATAATGAAATATCTCGGCTAAATACAGTCCAATTGCGGAGAGATATACCTCATTCTACTCGTACGGATGCCGACTATCGATTGCCATCCAAAAATCCGCATTCTAAGAGATGACCCAAAATCATCAATACCATCACGTTTTTTTCGAAAAATGACATTTTTCTGATATCAAAAAACGTTGATGCCATTCTATTCTATGGACCTCCACGAGTTCAACGCGCCCAATCTGCCCGTTATCGGGCTTTATTTGGCCGAGATATGGCCATTTAAAATTTCCCAAAAAGATTCGTGTGGTTGTGCACTTGGAAGTAAAGCAAACAAAGCATGGCATACTTTTGGTCCGCTCATAAAAATTACCATTCACAATATACGCATAGACTAACATTTTGTAAAGTGTTTATAATGAAATATCTCGGCTAAATACAGTCCAATTGCGGAGTGGTATACCTCTTTCTACTCGTACGGATGCCGACTATCGATTGCCATCCAAAAATCCGCATTCTAAGAGATGACCCAAAATCATCAAAAATACAGTGTAACCATCACGTTTTTTTCGAAAAATGACATTTTTCTGATATCAAAAAACGTTGATGCCATTCTATTCTATGGGCCTCCACGAGTTCAACGCGCCCAATCTGCCCGTTATCGGGCTTTATTTGGCCGAGATATGGCCATTTAAAGTTTCCCAAAAAGATTCGTGTGGTTGTGCACTTGGAAGTAAAGCAAACAAAGCATGGCATACTTTTGGTCCGCTCATAAAAATTACCATTCACAATATACGCATAGACTAACATTTTGTAAAGTGTTTATAATGAAATATCTCGGCTAAATACAGTCCAATTGCGGAGAGATATACCTCATTCTACTCGTACGGATGCCGACTATCGATTGCCATCCAAAAATCCGCATTCTAAGAGATGACCCAAAATCATCAAAAATACAGTGTAACCATCACGTTTTTTTCGAAAAATGACATTTTTCTGATATCAAAAAACGTTGATGCCATTCTATTCTATGGACCTCCACGAGTTCAACGCGCCCAATCTGCCCGTTATCGGGCTTTATTTGGCCGAGATATGGCCATTTAAAATTTCCCAAAAAGATTCGTGTGGTTGTGCACTTGGAAGTAAAGCAAACAAAGCATGGCATACTTTTGGTCCGCTCATAAAAATTACCATTCACAATATACGCATAGACTAACATTTTGTAAAGTGTTTATAATGAAATATCTCGGCTAAATACAGTCCAATTGCGGAGAGATATACCTCATTCTACTCGTACGGATGCCGACTATCGATTGCCATCCAAAAATCCGCATTCTAAGAGATGACCCAAAATCATCAAAAATACAGTGTAACCATCACGTTTTTTTCGAAAAATGACATTTTTCTGATATCAAAAAACGTTGATGCCATTCTATTCTATGGACCTCCACGAGTTCAACGCGCCCAATCTGCCCGTTATCGGGCTTTATTTGGCCGAGATATGGCCATTTAAAATTTCCCAAAAAGATTCGTGTGGTTGTGCACTTGGAAGTAAAGCAAACAAAGCATGGCATACTTTTGGTCCGCTCATAAAAATTACCATTCACAATATACGCATAGACTAACATTTTGTAAAGTGTTTATAATGAAATATCTCGGCTAAATACAGTCCAATTGCGGAGAGATATACCTCATTCTACTCGTACGGATGCCGACTATCGATTGCCATCCAAAAATCCGCATTCTAAGAGATGACCCAAAATCATCAAAAATACAGTGTAACCATCACGTTTTTTTCGAAAAATGACATTTTTCTGATATCAAAAAACGTTGATGCCATTCTATTCTATGGACCTCCACGAGTTCAACGCGCCCAATCTGCCCGTTATCGGGCTTTATTTGGCCGAGATATGGCCATTTAAAATTTCCCAAAAAGTTTCGTGTGGTTGTGCACTTGGAAGTAAAGCAAACAAAGCATGGCATACTTTTGGTCCGCTCATAAAAATTACCATTCACAATATACGCATAGACTAACATTTTGTAAAGTGTTTATAATGAAATATCTCGGCTAAATACAGTCCAATTGCGGGCTTTATTTAGCCGAGATGTAGCCATTTATAGCCGTTTGTAGCGGTTTTTAGCAGAATTTTAGTAGTACTGCATACTTTCGTGCTGTCTACAAATACGTTTTGAGACTTATTTTTGATCAAATATTAAAATTGAAATATCTCGGGTTCCATATGACCGATTTCGAAATGATATACCTCTTTCTACTCGTACGGATGCCAACATCGATTGCCACCAAAAAATCTGCATTCTAAGAAATGGCCCAATTTAAGGAAAAATACTATGTTTTTTGCAAAATTGACGATGTTGGCTGAAAATGGCTGTGACCACGAGTTGAATGCGACCAATCTTTCCAAGATCGGGCTTTATTTGGCCAAGATACAGAAAAACGCGAAAAAATGCCGTTATAATTTTGAAGATTTTTCGTTTTTTTGCGATAATTCGGCTAAAACTGGTCCGAATTTGGAAAGTTATACGTTTTTGAACTCGTACGGATCTCTGGCATCGACTGGCATACCACGTTTTTTGATTTTGTTTGGAAATCCTGAAATACAACACCATTTAAATTATACGAAAAATTTGCTCCTCCTCTTAACTTCCACCCCGAAAGTATGCAACACAATTCTTGAGTTGCAGCGTTTAGTCTCAGCATGAAAGTATGCTATAAATTACTATTCAGAATATGGTTCATACTTCAAGCGATAGACTGCGCTTATTCCAAAAAGAAGACATAATTAGAGCAATAGAAAGCGCTACAATAATCTTTTTAAATACAATAGATGGCGGTTACTACTTAAAAGATGCTTCAAAGTTCAAACAAAAGATAGCGCTTGCTAGGGGAAAAACGATGCCGTTATAATTAAGAAGTTTTTCTTATTTTTTCGAAAATTCCGCTAAAAATTGTCTGATTTTTGAAAGATATACTTTTTTGAACTAGCCTGATCCCCTACTGTCGATTGACATTCAAAAAAATGCATTATAAAATTTTACATTTGACAAAATGGCATCATAATTAATTTTTTGCCTTAAAAATGGGCCTCCTTTGTGATCTAATAGAAATTGTCTTTGGATTTTATGGGCGCATGTATTTCACGCGTTTGAATGCGACTAAATCGACTAATTCGCAAATATATATGTGTTATATATAGCTGAAATAGAACTTGATTGTGCTGCTTATAGCTTGGATGACTTCTTGAAGCGCCTGTTGTACTGCTGATTATAGCCATAGGGATCCACCAGCTGGTTGGGTCTGCCCCTCAATTGCTGTGTGATCAGCGTCTGTTGCTGCTGCTCGTTGCGTTGATCCTTTTGCTGCTGTTGCTGCTGTTGTTGCTGTTGTTGCTGCTGTTGCTGCTGCTGCTGCTGGTTGAGGTTCTGCTGCGGCTGTTGTTGCTGTTGCTGTGGGTTTAGATTGCTGCCCAATTGCTGGCCGAATTGACCCGCATACTGGGCTGGCAAGTTGCCCGAGTTGAGGGTGTTGAAGGGCTGCTCCGGCTGATATTGTCCGGTATTCGGGAAATTGCGCTGCTGCAGCTGTTGCTGCTGTTGCTGCAATTGTTGCTGCTGCTGTTGCTGTTGCTGCGGCGTCAGTTGCTGGCCGGGCGCCGGCCGAAATCCAGCCGTGGACGTCGGCAGTTGTCTGT